CAAGGCATGGTGGGAGAGTGAGGGATGTGGAGCCAGGGATCAAGGAGCCAGTGGACAGGCACTTGGATGAGGCTATGAGGGAAATGGGGACTAGAAGGCCCCAAGGCAGCAGCCCCTGGTAGGTGGCATGTGGTATGGGGGCTTCTGATCTCAAGACAGAGTTTATTTCCAGGCCTGAGTTTCTTCAGCTCTGGGCATTGCTAGCCCTCAGAAAGACTCCCCGAGTGACTTACGTGAAGGATGATATAGCAGCATTCCTCGAAGAAAGTCCCATGAGCCCTCTCAGGCAGTGGCAGCATCTTTAGGTTCTGAGAGAGAAGGTCGCCAAGAAGCAAGTTAGGGACCTTTACCCATGACAGCCAGCGATAGGGTGGAGGAGGGAGCTCTAGCTGGGAGGAGGGAGAGGATGACAACACTACTCCATGTTGCAGGCTGTGCTATCTGGTCTTGCCCCTCACCTCAGTAACCCATATTTGGAGGGCTCTGTGGCTGTCAATGGCTGGGAGGTCCTGGTTGGTGTCCATCCTAGGCTAGGCAAGGACGATGGTGATGCAGAGGTTGGGGGATAGTCTCTGCTAACACAGGTGTGTGTTACAGGCTCCAAGCAAGAGTTTTTCTGCCACCCGAAGCTTTCCAAATACCTTCACGAGAGAATATAACCTTTGTTAAACATGCAACTTCAGCAAACCAGGCAGATACAAGTGGATGGGCTTACAGGGGCCTGGGTAAACTTGAGCAAACGGGGAGAGGCACGGTGACAGGCGTACAGGAACCTGGTTTGTCTGTGGGAAAGCTTTCCAGCAGGCAGAGCTCTCTGGCCAGGAGTGCCCTTCAGCTAGCAGCAACATCTGGAGACAGAGTTAGAAACTGGCCACCAAGCACTTGAGGTGTAGTTCAGCTGGTAGAATGCCTAGCATGCAGGAAGCCCTGGGTTTGACCCCCAGCACCACACAGAACCAGGCGTGGCGGTGCATGGCTTTAATGCCCACATCCAGGAGGTGGAGGCAGGAGGATCGGAAGTTCAGGATTCTTCTCAGCTATAGAGAGGATCTGAGGCAGGCTGAGTTACAGGAGATCTTGTCTAAAAGAATCAAAGGGAAAAAGAAACAGGCAGACAGCTTTTAGCCAGACCTAGGGTCTGCAGACTCCGGACAGTTACTACAGATAGTGCCAAATTAGACTCTTACAAAAGGAATCAGTGGGGCTCCAGGCTGTATGGAAAGACAGGTTCTGACCTCAAGGAAAGGCAGCGGCTACACACAGGTCTGACAGAGTTAGAAACAAGCATGTAAGTAGACACCGGGCCTGCGCAGTGCAGCAGGCTGTGTAGATGGGGGCTTCACAAACAGCCACGCCTTCTGCAGACTGAGGAAGCACTGAATGACTCAAGCTCTCAGAGAGAAAGGAGGACTTCAAACAGGGGCTCTCCGTGTATACAAGGACAGCTTTGGGGAGACCCAGGCACTTCCCAGGGAAGGTCAGACAGACTTGGCAAATAGGCAAAGACCGGAAGCTGAGAAAGGCTCCGCAAACAGGTATGGGTTCTGCAGGTGCACAGGGACTTCACAGCCTGGGGATGGTTATGCTAACGGGGATAAGAAAGGACTCTGTTGAAGGGGCAGCGTCTGAAGCTACGGGGCAAGCACAGTGACGCAGGAGACTCCGCAGACAGGAGCCACACCATGGCCATAGAAAGGCCCCTAGTCGGAGGCAGGCTTTAAAGCCTGGAAGAGCCCTGTAGACATGGCAGAGCCTCATATGTAGGATACCTCCAGCAAACAGACGATGAAAATAGGTGGGGAAAACCATGAGGCCTTGCAAAGGGATTCCAGGCCTGTAAAAAGAAGCCTGCTCTGCAGTCAGGTCAGGGAGTTTGCCGAAGAGTTGAGGCTCCGTAAGCCTGCAGAGGATCTACAGCCTGGTTATGCCAAAGGTGTTGACATCACCAGAGAGGCATGGAGCTGCGGGCTGAGTCACAGGGAAGCCAGCACTGTGGGCAGGCACGTGTCACTCTGGACACAAGCAGGATTCTGAAGCAGGCCTGGCTTCTGTAGGGAATGTGGGGACCCCTGAGTCCTGCAAAGTGGACAGACTATATAGGTCAGATAGGAAGTGGATGAGCCCTGCACGCAGGTCCATCGGCAAGCAGGAGCCTACAGCGGCAAAGGTTCTGAGAGCAGGGGTGATGTCTGCAGGAGCAGGTGGGAGCCGCCTGACAAGCATAACCTCTGTCCCTTGAGAAACTCTCCACTAGAACATGCTGAACGGGTTTCCACCCAGGGCAGTTCAGACAGGGGGAGCAAAGGGGGAGCCCCCTAAAAAGATCACGGGGTCACACGGGAGACTCAAGCTCTGCAGAACACACGTAGACAGAAGATGGTTCGAAAGTGGAGGAGGCCCTGCCATCAGGCCACAGAGACACGCCAGCCATCCCGCAAATGCGAGGATATTCTAGAGAGACACTTGTGTTCTACCCTATTGGTGACACCCCTCCCAATTGGAATGTCCTCAGGAATTTCATTCTGGAGGGAGGGTCGGCTTGAGGGAGGGCTTGTCCCCCAAAGAATGAGCTCACACAGTCTGACAACTTGTCACACCACCTTGTTGGGCAGACTGGAGCAGAGAGAACAAAGTGAAAGGTGTGTCAGTGGCGGAGCAGGCTGCACTGTGAGCATGCTCGCTCAGTCATGCAAATCTCGTGTGTGCCATTTAACCCTCATAGTTGTGGTCACTGCTACTCTGTTTGTTCCTCTTCTCAATGTGGCTGCACTGGCTAAACTTCCTCTCTGTGCTTTTCATTATTATCTGTTTGGTTGGCCTGGTGAGTATGGGTGACTGAGTCTCGCTTGCAGGGCCCTCAGGGATGAAGCTTTGACCCTCAAACTTCTGATAACATTACCATAAAATAAACAGTTGTCCCTAGACAGGAACAGGCACCATAAGCAGACAAATCCTTGTGGACGGCTCTGTAGCCAGGACAGGCTGCGAGAGCATGTCAGCATCTGGAATAAAAGCGAATCTCACACATGGGGAGCGACACCTAGACTGGAAACAGGTACTGGCTCTGCAGGCGCGACAAACAAGACAAAAGTTCTGTCAACTCAGGACAGAGCCTCCATACACGACTGTGATGGAATCTGCAGCAAGTGACAGGCTCAGGTGACCAGAGAAGGTTGGGCCAATGAAGCATTTGCTTTCCTGACCCAGCCTTGAAAGATGGCCGGATATACACACAGGTGCTGCAAACAGCCGCTGAGCTCACTGGAGTCCGTGCTCGGTCATTCTGAGCGGGTAGAGGAGAAACACAGCCAAGGGCTGTGGAGAAGGGGTGTGCCAATACTGTCCTCTCACATCCCTGCACACCTGCTTTGGAAACAGCAAACGATTATGGGTTCTACAGGCATGGAGAGTGAGTTTTGGTTACTCCCCGGTGTGACTTTCACATCTAACCGAAATCCTGCTTGCCGCCTCTCCTCACTGCTACTCAATTGGCAGACACAGTCACTGGGTTCTGAGTCTCTCCCATGGGTGGCCCTGGTGCAGCAGTGACCGCTTTCTCTTGATTGGGCACCCCAGCCCGGCCCCATCAACAGCAAATGCCCTCTGTGATGGGAGAGCGGAGAAGACGAGGGAAGAGAGTTACAGAACCTTACGTGGCTCACATTCTCCCTCCTTTGTCTAGGACCTTTGAGGGCTGGGCTCAGAACAAGGTGGCCTGGGAAGGGGGTGGGGCAGGGGGCTGTCCAGGCAGAGCCACACCAGGGGAGGCTGTGAGCTGGGGCAGTGATGGGAGCCAGGTACAACACAGTGCCAGCCTCTCCTACCACCCTGAGGAAATCATGTGCTGGTTTGGGTCTCCCAACATGGAGCCGGACAAACCTATAGACAGTTGCTGACAGACTGAGGCTTGGGCAAGACGGATGTGGAAGGGAGCCACCAGGCATGCTCACAGCACCTCCAGTTGTCACCATTGTGTGATAATGACATACATGACAGACAGGCAGTAGTCCCCTCTAGCAACAGAAAATGTTATGATACACCATGGCGGGTAGGATGACAGGCAACAGGACCCTTCAGCAAAGACATGCAAAACCAGCGCGACAGGAGAGTGACCAGTACCCAGATAGGCAGGGACCCGAGGCACACAGACGAGAGCTAGAAGGTATACAGGTCATGTAACTAGACGACACATCAAGGTGGGAAGATCACTGCACAACTTAGGGCCACAGAGGAGAGGACAGGCAGATTAGCAGCCGTAAGCAGCGTCTAAGCTGGCTTCAGTGGGGGGGGGGCAGCATCATCCCAAGGGCGACTGGGAAGGTGCCCAGATACCCGCAGCCTGGGGAGTCAGACTGGAGCTGAAACCCCATTCCTGTTGCTAGGGCAGAGACATTTAAAGTATGGGGTCTCTTTACTCCTTTAACACCCCATGTTTCCTCCAGGTACCTTCCTCCAGAGCTCCCATCTTTTCCCAGAGTGTCACCTGTGGCCCACGAGCCCCCACCCCTGGATGCCCCCTTTGATTTTCCAGTACCTTCCCAGAGAGGCTGCCGTCCCATGCCCTCTGACCTTCCTCCCTCCTAGAAGCCCTCTTACCTTCCCAGGGTTCCTGTATCTTCTACATTGACTTCCTTCTTCTCCCTTCCCCAGGGGCTCTCACTCACTGTGCAGACTTCTGTCCACTTCTCTCCCCTTCTCTCCCCAGGGCACTCCTTCTCCCTCCCAGATGTACCCTCCTCCTCAAGGTGCCCCCCCCCCCCAGTAACTTCTTTCCTGCTTGGGTACCTGAGGGTAAACCCTGAGATTCCTTTGCTCAACTTCCAGGAGGGAGAGAGCACAGCCTGCTGGAGGCGGGTGGGGAGGAGTTAGGCAAACCAACTCTGGGGGTGACAGAGACCTCAGCCACATGCAAAATCTGCCACTTCTTCCCCTCACACTGGCTTGCCAGAGTGGCCCTCCTCCAGCAGCGCGCCCACCCTGGGGCTGTCCTCAGTTCTGCCAGCCTTCAGCCCTTCTGGGTGACCCAGAGCCCCGAACGCTGCAGCCCCTCTACCCCCATCCAGTTCCCAAGGCCCCTCCGGCCCAGGCCTACCTTCTGGGAACTGCTCCTGTACCTTCCTTCACCCTGCTTGTGGGCAGTGCTAGGCCTGGCAGGCTGCCAGGCTCTGCCCATCACCCCTCCCTTCTGTAACTCAATCCCAGCTCCTGCCTTGCAGGACACACCCCAGAGATCTGTGCAGCAGGGACTGGGTATTCAGACTTAGTCAGTTGATAAATATTGACCAAGCCGTCTGGGAGCCAGCCCCCTTCCCATGGCCTTGTAGACTCACCTCTTCGATACCAGTGGACAGGGAAGGAAAGGGTTGGAGGCCTGAGCTGGGCAGGAAAAACACTGATTTCTGTTCCTAGGAGCCCAAATGGGCAACTGCCCCCCAGTGGGGAGGGGCCCTTTGGGATTCAGGGGTTCAGGCCACTGTAGTGCAACTGTGATATCAAGGTCACTTTAGCAGGTGAAGGAAATGGCTGGGGCTGCCTCCCGGCATCTCCCAATCCCCCACCTTCCATCTCGGGTTGGCTGCCCAGCATAGCCCTCCCTAGGGAGCCTTGATACCCATCGTGGGAGAGGCCATGGAGTCCCGGCAGCAAAGAAATCTCTTCCACACGCTGGCTGCCCCTCTGTTACTCCTCCTGATTGTGGGGTATGAGAGTGCTGGAAACAGAGCCCTCTGGATATGCCCACTGTGCTGGGCATATCTAACAGGTCCCGTCTACGACCCGTATCACAGACACTTGTGTGGTTCTGTGTCTGGGTCGTAGTAGTTAAGGCATGCCCGTATCTCTGTGTGTTGGGCTCCACCTCTGCACCGATCGTTTGTTCCTACCTCTTTGTGTCCCTGTGTCTCCTCTCCTTCCCGTTTTATTTTTACCAGTCTGCTGGTCTCTGTTCCCATACTTCCATGTTGCCAGCGGCAGCTGATTCTCACCGGCGTCCCTTCATCTGTCTCCTTTGGGGTCTCGAAAGTCAGCAGGAGCACAGCTCAGGCCTCGGTCCCTCTCAATTTTCTACTTTTCTTCCAAGTTCCGGGGCCTCATTCTCATCCCCTGTCCCCACACCTAGATTCAGTCTCCTTACTGAACCGGGCAGTCACATTGCTTCCTGCCTACCACCCTGCTCTGGGAGCCAGCTTTGACCAGTTGGTGACTTGAAGAAGACACTCTGTGTCTTGGCCTCCCTGGCCCTACATCTTCCCCCTCACACAGCAGCCAGAGGGACTTGGAATTATTTTTTATTACATGTGTGTGTGTGAGCCTACCATGGGATGTATATGGAGGTCAGAAGGTAACCCGTGCAGGCAGGTTCCCCCTTCTGTTATGTAAGTCCCAATGGACCAAACTCAAGTTATCTTGACAAGCATCTTTACCCATCCACTCAGGCATCTTGCAGTCCCTTTTGCTTCATCTTTTTCTAAAACAGGGTTCCATTTACCCCAGGCTAGCCCTAAACTCACTATGTAGCTGAGTATGACCCTGAGCTATTTACAGATCCGCCTCCTTCTACTGCTTAAAAACTGGGATCTCAGGAGATCACCAGTATGCCTGGCTTGTTCTCTTCCTACCTCCCTCCCTTTTTTCCTCCCTCCCTCCCTCCTTTCCTCTTCCCTCTCTTCCTCCTGCGTCCCTCCCTTCCTCCCTCTCTCCCTCCTTCATCCTTTCTTCCTACCTTCCTTCCTCCTTCCTTCTTTCCTTCCTGCCTCCTTTCTTCTCTCTCTCTCTCTCTCTCTCTCTCTCTCTCTCTCTCTCAAGGGTCTCCATATATAGCTGAGTTTGGTCTCATACTCATGTTGTGGGATACTCTTTTTGGACACTGTGAAGAAGTGTCTTTGCCAAGGCTCCTGCTGATTGGTTTAATAAGGAGCTGAATGGCCAATAGCTAGGCAGGAGAGGACAGGTGGGACTTTTGGGAAGAGATAAGAATTCTGGGGGAGGGGCTGGAGAGATGGCTCAGTGGTTAAGAGCATTGCCTGCTCTTCCAAAGGTCCTGAGTTCAATTCCCGGCAACCACATGGTGGCTCACAACCATCTGGAATGAGGTCTGATGCCCTCTTCTGGCCTGCAGACATACACACAGACAGAATATTGTATACATAATAAATAAATAAATAAATATTTAAAAAAAAAAAAAAAGAATTCTGGGGGAAAAAGAGGTGGGATTTGCCGGCCAGATGGGAGGAGAAGTAACAAGCCATATGGCAGAATATAGATTAATATAAATGGTTAATTTAAGTTATAAGAACTAGTTGGGAACAAGCCTAAGCTAAGACCAAGCTTTCATAATTAATAAGAAATCTATATGTCATTATTTGGGAGCTGGACCTGTTACATACTTGCGACAATCTCGCTTCAGCCTCAGAATGCTGATTACGGGACTGTGTGCCAGGAAGTCTGCCTTCGAGGCTCCTCCCATAGTTTTATAAAAAAACAGCCATGCCTTGATATCTGTAAGAAGACTATGCTCTCCGTGGATACCCAAAGCAAAGGCTGCTTAAGCACTTCATACAAGATGATGAGCTAGTATTGACACACAGCCCCCACCCCTTCCCTACACTTAATCAATCATGTCTAGGTCACTTGTAACACTTAAAACAATGTAACACTGTACACAGTTGTCACACCTGGGGACAGACAAGAAAAGCAGTCTAAACATGTTTAGTAATCATAGCCTTCCCTCAAGTCTTCTTATTCAAGTTAGTCAAATCCAGAGCTGCGAAACCTGCATATCTAGAAAGCTAACTGAACACGTCTAATCTGTCATTCTATTGAATTAGTGAGTGTGGCGGTGGGCTTGGGAGGAGTTGGTGGATGAGTAGGGGCTGAATATCATCGAAATACATTGTATACTTGAAATCTTCCTCCCTTCCCTCCCTCCCTTCCTCCCTCCCTCCCTTCTTTCTTCCTTTCTTTCTTTCTTTGTTTTTCGAGACAGGGTTTCTCTGTAGCTTTGGAGCCTGTCCTGGAACTAGCTCTTGTAGACCAAGCTGGCCTCGAACTCACAGATCCACCTGCCTCTGCCTCCCGAGTGCTGGAATTAAAGGCGTGCACCACCACTGCCTGGCTTTGAATGAAATCTTAAACAACACATTACATTAACATTTTTATTATTTTTTAAAACCATCCTAGGGCATAGAGGCACCTGTCTATAATCACAGCACTGGGGAGGTAGAGGCAGGAAGATTGCAAGTTCCAGGTCAGTGTGGGCTACGCAGGATCCTGTCTCATAAAACAAAAGAAAATATTTACCACACTCCAACAATCACAATCAAGGGCTGCGTAAGCCCCTCCTGCAAGACGATGAGCTAATGTTGGCCCACAGCCCCCACACCCTCCCCTATACCATCTGTATCTAGGTCATCGCTTACTTTTGCTGTTGTTTACTCTTGAAACAGATTCTTGGTACCTCAACCAGGCTGACCTCGAACTCACAGAGGTCTGCCAGCCTCTCCTTCCTGCGTGCTGGGATTAAAGGCGTGTGCCACCACCACCCGGTCACCCTACACTTTTAAGCGTACAATTCTGTGGTATGGGGACACTGACCATCACCGCCATCCATTCGTATCTCTACCTCTCCCGCTTCCCATAGAGAAACTTTACGTGGCCGAGGAGATTGCCCAGTGGGTAGAACACTTACTGCAGAAACATGAAGAACTGAATTTGGATTCCTGGTATCCATGTAAAGGCCGAGTGTGCTGCACATACCTGTAGCCCAGCACTAAGACTGGGGGTGCAGTGGGGTGTCTGTGACAAGATCCTAGGTGATCTCTGGGCTCAGTGAGAGATTCTGTCTCAAAGAATAAGATGGAGCCATGATTGAGGAGGACATCCAGATGTCAGTCTCTGGCCTCTGCGAGGGAAGCTACACCTGTGCACACGTCACTCCTCTGCTCTCCCAGATGGACACAGACAGACAGAAAGACAGACAGACAGACAGACACACGGAGAATCAAAACTGGAGCTTACACTCTATAAATTCTAAATACTCATTGAGCAACACTCCTTACGCCCCCTCCACCATCGCACCTTCTGTTCCCATGATCTTGATCAGCTACAGGGGGGCATCTCACCTAAACCTCTTAACCCCTTCTTGCTGTCCCCAAGCCTCCGATGCTAGAGCAAGAACGAGGCCCTTTACCTGGACCCCCCTCCAGTTGCACATCTGGGTGCTCCTCCACGGTTCATGATTTCTAGCTGTGTGGGGCTTTCCATAGCTCGAAGGCACCCAACACATTCTGTTCCCAATTTCTGCACACCGCTTATCTGCCCGGTGTCTTTTCCCCAGGGCCCGCCAGCCTCCCCTGAATCTAGCTCTTAGCTCAAAAGTGACTGCCCACGGGGAAGCAGCCTCCTGATCCAGCCATTTCTTGCTTCCTGCTTCATGCCCTCCACTGGAACTTGGTTGGTTGGGCCCTTCTCCGGGACTTGTGGGCCCAGGTAGAATGTGGGCCCCTTGAGGGCAAGGCTCCGTCAGTGCTGTGCCTTTAAGGATGACAGCTCATGGCAACAGCAGTTAGTCAGATAGTGCACTGCTGTGATTTGTCCCATGGGGTGTGTGTGTGTGTGTGCAAGCAGGCATGTATTCTATATGGAACCAGGGCACGGAATTCTCTCCACAGTTGCTCTCTGCCCTACTCTGGCACCCCCTGATGAGGGATCTCTGAGGGATCTCAGTCTCTCTCTCTCTCTCTCTCTCTCTCTCTCTCTTTAATGAACTGATATTTCTTTTCCAGGGGGTGATACCCCTCCAACCTCCAGTTTGGGAAAGATGCCCCATTTATTGCAATCCAGCCCCAGAAGCTTAATGGTGGACACAAAGCTCCTCCAAAAGTTCTCAAAATTCTCTGTGGCAAAACCACCCCACCCCTCACGTGCCCATCCCCATCCCCGAACCCTTGACGCGTGGATGCAGAACCTGGAGATGTGCAGGCAGACTAGGACCTGACTCTTGGTGTCTGGCTTGGGTCATCTTGTGGCCATACACCTATGACGAGAGAGAGAGAGAGAGAGAGAGACTGAGACCAGGGGTGGGCTCAGTTACTTCAATACTGAGGGCTGAGGGCCAGGGTACTCATTCTTTCTCTCCTTCCCCAGAGCAAGAAAGGGGTTCTGGTTCATTTTCTCTGCTTGGTCACCCCTCCCCTGTGGACACACCCACCCTAATCCTTAGCTGTTAGTTTGGAGTCTGATGAGCTGGGCTTGCCTGGCTGTGCTGTCTGCTAAGTTCCTCATCCCACTGACTTCTGGCCTCTGTACCCCCAACCCTTGGGTTTCCAGGGATTTGGGGCTCTATGTTCTTGCCAGCTTATCTCCAGGGCCCTACCTTCTTCGTGTCAATATTGACCTAGTGAGGGAGTAGCGGTAGGCCTCACCCCGCGGTGATCTCTGCTTAGTCTCCCCAGGCTGGTGTGCAATCTCCCTGCAGGGGGAGGACAGAGGCATGGGAAGGGTCATGTGACTCTAGCCTTCCTAACAACTTGGAGCACTTGGGGATCCTCCAGTTCTTGTCCCTTCCACTCCGACCTCTGTGACTGCTGGGTCCTCACATTTGGCTGCAGGACAAGGAAATAGAAATGACTCAACCCCCAAGGCAAGAATTCCTGGAGAATCAGGTCCTGTGGGTGTCAGGGGACTGTAAGGTACTCAGGGCAGATGAATCATCGGCCTCTTCAAGTGCAAGCTGCCTCACGGTTTCTTCTCGGAGCAGTGAAGGGGAGTGTGTCCGCAAGTACATAGCTAGGACACAGCTTGGGGCAGAGCGCGGTCCCACCCTTGATGCAGGAGAGTGAACAGCTGTGTCCTACTCCTGGCAGATGAACTGGGCTCCCATTCACTTGACCTAGCCAAGGTTTACAAAACAATATTTTAATTTTCCCTGTATGGTGTGAAGGCCTGCATGTCTCTGTGTCATGTATGTGCCTGGTACCCACAGGGGCCAGAAGAGGGCGCTGGACTCCTCGGACAGGAGTTATAGGGTGTGACCACCTGATAAGGGGGCTGGAAAGCGCTCCCACATCCGCCAGAGCAACAGTGCTCTTAACTGCTGAGCCATCGCTCCAGACGCTCAACCAGGATTCTCAGCTAGCACAGATGATGCTCTGGCCATGGAAAGGCTCCCAGCACACAGGGAGGACTTCCTGTGCTTTGCTAGGTTCCCTTTTTAGCAGTGAACACATATAATGCATCTCACAAAGAAAGCTGTATGGCAACTCCCAAAACCCTGCACATGGCAGCTGCGCTGTGTGGGTACCAGGCCTGGGACAGTTTGGGGGCAAATTTCCCACTCCTCTGTAGCCAGTCAGCTGTTCCCAGCCCTGACTGCATATTCTAGTCACTTTGTATTTGAAGGAAGCCTCCCCTTCTGAGAGGTCAGAGTCAAAGTGCCTGGGTGGCTCTGAAGAGCCTAGGCCTTTCCTTCTGTACACGTATTGGGGTGTATGAGCACGTTTGTGTTTTCCGTTTGTAGGTACACGTGTACACATGCATGTGGGAGGTTGGAATGCCACCCTCAGGATGCGGTTTACCGCCTTTGGTCAAGGTCTCTCATTGGCCTAGAGTTTACCATTTAGGTAGGCTATGCTGGACTTCCAGGGAGTCCCAGGAATCCGCCAGGCTCTGCTGCCCTAGGTCTAGGATTGGAAGGGCATGCCACCACTCCTGGCATTTAAGGGACTGAACTCAGGCACTTACGCTTGCTTTAGAAGCTTGTATCCTATGTAGGAGCTGAGGCTTCAATTTCGGGGCCTTATGATTCAGCAAGCAGTCTCGTCACCCACCGAGCTGTCACCCTTCAGGTACCTTTAAGAGCGTCCAGGCGATGTGTATGTGTGTGCGTGTGTGCGTGCGCGCGCGGCAGTGTTGAGGAATGCACTCAACCTTTGGTGATTCTCAGTGAGCTACAACTTGAGATACGATGGGGTTTTGTTTGGAAAGCTTAGGGGCCTGTATGCCTCTGTCTCATAGCCTGAGGGTCCAGCCTGTTCTGGGGTTAGCCTGATGCCTCACTAGTTAGAGGTTCTGGGCTTCGAGCATCCTGTTGATCTCTAGCAAAGGGAAATGAACAGGTCTGGATACTCCAGGGACCCTGACCACAGTCCACAGGCATTTCCTGTCCATCTCACCAACTGCCAGCTAGCCTGCTGTCGCTCCCAGGCTGTCCTTACCTCTGCTCCCTCCTTCCCATTCTTCCCGTCATAACTAGAAAAGAGCAGGGCACATTTCAGGGAACCTGAGTCCCAGTTTAGTGTCCTGTGTTTGTGGGGTGTAAAACAGCAGAGGATGTGGGAGCAGAGAGGACTGGGGGGCGGACTGAAGCAAAGGATGGGGGGACATGCTAGAAGTCAGAGTCAGGCTAAGGCGAAGTGACCGCTGTCTGGCTGGGCAGATCTGCTGGGACGGGGAGGTACCCAGGACCTGTGGTGGCGATGTGGTACTAAGGGCTCTATCTCCATCCCAAGGGCTGGTAGGGCTGGAGTCCTTATGTGAAGATGGAGTCATGCCCCCTGTCTGGGGAAAGAGAGCTAGACGGCTGAGCAGTTGCCCCTTTTCAAGTTATAAGCAATTTGGGTTGGATGGTTTTCTTACCCTAGGTGTTAGGAACTCTGGCACTGAGTGCTGTGGCCTGGCTCCTATCCACCCTGCTCTGTAGAAGTGAGAATGACCTCAAGACCCACGGTGTCCACAGAAGGGTGTGGTGTGCAGGGGAAAGAAAAAATAAACATAAAAAACCCCACAACAGGCCATATCTCTGGAGAAGCAGGTCAACCACGAGACAGTGCAGTTTCATGAGTTTATTTTTGGCAGGAGGGAAATCACTGATTGACAACACTTGTCCCCAGAATTGTGCATATTCCACATGTAGTATTTCCCAAGCAGCGCCAGATCGTCACAAGCATCCAGCAGAAAACCGTACCCCCCCAGACAGCAGCATCGTGACTGCTGGGGTGTCCATCTGCAGGGCGGCTCTAGGGACAGACACGGTCAGATATACAGTGACACAGGAGCAGAGGCAGCCAGCAAGTTTGCGCAGGGGAGGCCATCCGCTCTTCTCAACCGCTGGCGTGCCAGCTGTCCAGCACAGCACCATGAGAAGCAGAGGCACACACGTCACGAGTGTTTGACCAATAGGGCTGTGTGTTTCCGGATTTTATTAGAAACCAGGGTAGGAAAATGCTGCCAGGCTATACACACGTCCAGGTTTCACTTCGTACCCCAACTTCAAATGCTGTAACCATGACAAGTTAGTGTCATTTGGACAGTCTCATGTCCCCAATCTCATCGACGTTGCACGGCGTCAAAGGAATCCCCACCAACTGCCATGAGCAACAGGGCACAAACACATTGTTTACAAACAGCTAGTGCATGAAACCACAGACCAACATGGAGGATCCCAGAACAAATGGAAGACAGAACACTAACATCATCAGGGGTCGGGGTGCCCAGGAAGCCCCCATTTGAGGTCATGCAAAAGGCGTAGGCTGGAGTCCACAATCCCAAGCCTCCTGTCCCAGACCTTCACGTGGAAAGCACATGTCTAGGAGAGTGGTCCGAACGTGGAGTTGAGAGGATCACGAAACTTGGGAGGTCAGCTGTTTCTTTTGGCTAAGGAGGTGGAATGTTTTGGTAACGTGGGGGAGGATATGGCACACAGAAGTGGCTGATAAATTTTCAAGCCCACCCTTTTAATAAACTAACAATCAAAAGCAATACCCGTATTTACCTTAAGAAAATAAACCTCACACATTTGTCTCCTTTCTTGGCCTTGTTAGAATTCTATTGCTTCATTTACAAGTAACTGATTAAAAAATATAGATTTTTTTCAATTATGTACATAAAGCAGATTTTTTTTTAAAGAACGAAAAATTGGCATTTTGGAGCTTGGTCAAATAAGGTGCGGATTTCAGAAGCCTCAGAGGCCCTGCCACACACCCGAGACATCCCATGTTTGCGGTGGTAAGAACAGGGCTCCCCACCCGGTACCTCAAGGGCAGGGCCACGCACAGCTCCAGAACTCGAACCTGTCCGAAGTGGAGCCCTGTTTCTAGGCTCACTTCCCCTGAAATGTTCTGGAATTTCAGTCCATTCTACCCCCTTTTCCAAACTGAGGCCCGTGAACCGGTACAGCAAGAGGCACAGGTGACGGACGATCTGAGGTTCTCATCCGGGCCTCGTTCTGCGTGGAAATCAACACGCGGCAGACACTGCAACACCCAAGACACTTAAGGCAGCGGGATCGGCTAAGGACTGGTTTCCGTGAGGACTTATGGCATATGTGGATTGGCCACGGAACTTGTTATCTGTGGTGATGCTTCGCAAAGGGGCAGTTTCTGTTGTAATTGGCACAGGGATCGCTGGGTTCGGAACACTCAGAAAGTCAGGAGATCTGATGATCCCTCTGTATTTCTGCTCTGAATGCACAGTGGTTTCCCAGACCAAAGCACTGTGGGAAGGTAGGCCAGGTAGCTGGCTTCATTATTTTGTGAAAGAAAAAAAAAATTTTTTTTTAAGTTTGACCCCTGATTTTGAGTCTTGTTAGTGCCAGCAACTCCCAGCAGAAATCTGGCTGAGGCCCAACCCAGAGGACTAAGGCAACGGTGCCAACACGAAAAGGGCTCTTTTCATTCTTGGGGGAGCGACGCTAACACAGCACTGCTGAACACCCAACCCTTGGCTTGAAGAGGCTGTGCTTCCAAAGAGGCTGACATGGACTTGGGCCACATGGAGGTGGCGGCTGGTCGAGGCCACAGGTTCTCAGGCGAGACAGCGGAGCTCTTCCATAGGCTCTGATGTTGGCTGCAGTGTGAAGTGGATGCCACACCTGAGCGCTGCTCTGGCCCTTTATTATTTATTAATTTGTTTATTTAAAAACCCCCTTTGTGCCTTTCAGCATTCTTGGTGGCTAGGGCCAAGGAAGGGAGACGGTTGGTGCCGTGCTTGATGGGGCGGGCGGGACACCTGTTTCTGACCCTGTCCAAGCCTGCAGTTTAGCGGTGAGCGAATTCTGAGCATAGGCACAGTGGCAAAGAACAGTGTAACAGCCGCTGGTCAGTTCCATTTGGTGGCAGCGCAGTAGCAGCAAGTCCCACACAGCTCCACGTGTACCCAGCTTTCGACAGTCCAAGGGTTTTAGGGTTTTCTGTAACTGTTCTCCTCAAACCATTGACAACAGGAAAACAACACGGGACAGACGTGTGACCGTTGTGGGAAAGCAGATGTGACCTTAACGTCACCGTTCAAGGGGAAAATGCAACCTCAAGACAAATTTTATCAACATCGGAAATCGTAACAAAAGGGACTGGTTGCTTCATAAAGCATGGGGCCATGGGCAGGTACATTCTGGACGGACCAGAAACAGGTGGGGAACCACGAGCGTCACGAGAAGACTCCTGAAGAGGGAGCGGGATCCCGCACACGCCACAGGCTGACATTCGCACCTGTTGGGAGGCAGGCTCCCATGACCGCTTTCTCCCTGGCCACACCCTCACCCCACCACACACAGGCTCCCAGGTTCTAGAAAACTCTCCTGTTTGTCGTCTTAGCGTATCTAAGACAGTAAAAGACTAAAAGATGTCTGGAAATAGGTCGTATACAAAAGTAACTCTCAGCTTAAAATAACATTCAAAAAGGCACTTCACCCTGTAGGAAAAAGGTTCTGAGCTGGGTCAGCTGCCCCAACCCGGACAAAGGGGATGATGGGCTGTCTCTTGGGAGGGAGGACAGTTGAAAGGGCGTCTGAAAGAGACCAAGGTTTCTTTTTTTTCCTTTTTTTTTTTCTTTTTGGTATGTTTTAAGAAAATCGAATCTGGTAAAATGCATGTCCTTTTATGAAATCTATTAAAAGAGTTTTTTTTTTCCTTTAAAATAGTTGCTTCTGTTCTTTAAAAAAGAAAAAACAAACCCAAAACAAAACAGGTAGGCAATGGCGACATTCACCCTGTGACCCGGAGCATGGAGTCGGCTCATGCTCCAATCAGAAAGCTGAGGCCAGGAGGGTCCCCTGAGCCAGGGGCTCCAGAGCGCACAGGTGGAGACGGGCCATGGCCCCGAGGCCCCGAGGCGGGGGCTACCTGCTGCAGAGTCTGTGCAGCATGCCATACACATCGTCCTCCCTGCTCAGGCCCTCGAAGAACGGGATGAGGTCCAGCAGCTCCGTGTCCGTCATGTCATCGAACCAGGACTGCACAGGCACCTGCAAGACAGCGTGTCAGGACCAAGGGTGACACCGTCACCGTCGTCCCTTGTTTGCTCCCAAGCACCAAGAGCAGCAGGTCCAAAGTCAGTGCTGGCGCTGACACAGGGCTAGGGGGCGGCTCAGTGAGGCAGACGTCCCCAGGGTGTGTGAGCAAGCCACAGTGAGTGCTCCTGTGAACAAAAGATGCCCATTTCCAAAGCTCTTTATGGCACTGCACTGGCCCGCTGCCATGGGAGCCCTGGATGCCACTCAGAGGTTACCTGACAACCACCAACCACAGAGCCCAGTCCGGGCACACCGGTCCAGACTCTACTTAGGGCCAGTGCTTTAAGCTGTGTGCCAAAGAGAAGCAGAGAGTTCCTGCCCAACCAGGCAAACATGGAAATGTCGAATTTGAGGGCATTCGGAAGATACGGCAAAAAGAGAGTTCCCTTTAGTTCTCCATAGAGAAGGAGGGAGAGGTGGGAGTGGAGAGAAGCTTGGAGTTCCAAGAAGAGAATAAAAGCACAAAAGGTATTTATTTACTTACTTTCAGTTCTGGGATTGAACCCAGAGCCTCCTTCATGCTAGGTTCATGTCAACTGAACCATGTCAACAGCACTATCTGTGATATATTCTTGTTAGAAAAGGAAAAAGAGGGGGCTGGAGAGATGCCTCAGTCCTTAGGACACCTTGCTGCTCTCCCAAAGGGCCCGAGTTTGGTTCCCAGCACCCACACGAGGTGACTCATGACCACCTGTAACTTCAGCTCTGGGGATCCAGTGCTCTCTCCTGGCTTCTATGGGTACTGCATGCATGCAACACACATGCATAGATGCAAATAAAAATAAAACAAGCTCTTTAAAACATTACAAAGAGAGGCTAGAGAGATGGTTTGGTGGCCAAGGGCAGCACCATGTACTGCTCTTGCAGAGGACCTGAGTTCAGTTCCCAGCACCCACTTCAGGCAGCTCACAGACACCTGTAACTCCAGCTCTAGAGGATCTGATGCCCTCTTCTGGCCTCCGCAGGTACTACACTCATGTGCATGTTCTCTCTTATACATTCAAACAGGTAATTAAAAGTAAAACTACAAAAAGGAAAATATTTAAAAGAAGTCCGAGTCTAATCAAATAGCAAATAGAAAGTCTACTTGCTTGCCTGAAGGAGGAAAGGTGGCTAAAAAACATTAATTACTAACAGCCATTAAATCCAGAATGCAGAAAATTCTCTTAAGACAACTTAGTAAACTTTCCACAAATAAATGATAGAGAAGAAACAAGGGGGAGAGAAGAAATGCTTAGAACGGAGACACATTAAATGAAGCAATGCAGGGACCTTTTTTAGATCCCGACTTAACCAATTCACATCCCAGAAAACACATCAAGATGGCAACATGAACAGTGTATACGGTAGCTAATACAAGAAATAGCCGTGTGGAAAGGAACCGTGGCAGCGGCGGACACACCCCCATCTGCTGGAGACAACTGCCAGGTGCACTAGGTGGAATTGGATTGACTCGTTAACATGAATCTCTTTACTTATTTAAAGGGTCTCAGTATGTAGGCCAGGCTGGCCCTGAACTCACAGAGATCATCTGCCTTCAGAGTGCTGGGATCAAAGGTGGGCACCAGCACACCTGGCAACATGAACATATTTAACTGCAAGGCAGTAGTTTGATGGTTTATTCTTACCTTTCAGCTGAATATGGTCATGTCCCCCTTATAATAGTAGAGACATACAATTCTAGACTTAAAAATGGACATAAGGCCAGTGGTGGCGCACACCTTTAACCCCAGCACTCGGGAGGCAGAGGCAAGTGGATCTCTGTGAGTTCCAGGCCAGCCTGGTCTACAGCGTTCCAGGACAGCCAGGGCTACACAGTCTCACGAGGTGTTCAGAGTGGTTTCTGATTGGCAGACGCCTGAGCAGCAGGCTAGAGGCAGATACAGCTTCCCAGCCTGTTCTCTGGACTACTTACTGCATTCTCCGGATGGAAGATGTAGGAGGCGGGAGAATTGTCCACGATGATCACTTTGCTCAGCTCCCGTCCCAGGCGACTCAGGTCCTTCACATAGTTCCCACGATGGAAAACACAGGATTCTCTGAAGAGTCGCGCCCGGAACACACCCCAGCGGTCCAGGAGGTCGGCCACAGGGTCTGCATACTGGAAACAAGAGTCTCTATGAAGCCGGAAGAGCCAGAAATCCACCTAGGACACCAGCACACACGACCCCTTTCAGCGGGGAGGTAGGGTGGTTAAGGTATCTTCCACGTAGCAGCTCAGGATAGGTTCCTCCTGTGCCAATGTCTCCCGTGTGCCGAGATCACAGGCATGAGTCATGACATCAGGCCGGACTTTTTGTTTGGTGTATTTTATTAGATTTGGAAAGAAAAACCCCAGGTCTGGCAAGCTGTAAATTTTGGCGGCTGTCCAGAGGAGACTGGAGGAAATCATGTTAAGAAAAAAAAAGTCACACAGAGGCAGGCAGCTGCATGGTGGCGGGTGGGGTGAGGGTGTGGGAAACTTTAGAGAGAAGAGAGGCGGCCCTAAGTGTCAGGGGAGAAAAAAGAAGGAGGGAAAGGCCTGCTCTTCTGAGTAATTCATTAAAGTAGACAGCATTACGAAGTGCAGATCCATGGCCCCGTAAGAAACTGCCTAGACTACTCCTTGCCTTGGTTGTGTGCGTGTACAGGAGTGCATGGACACACGCGGTCACCGTCGGTCTTTCTCTATTGTCCCCAACCTTGCTTTTTGAGTCAGGGTCTCTCCCTGCACCTGCAGCACCCAGTTCAGTCAGACTGGCTGGCTAGTAGCCCCAGGAACCCCCTGTCTCTGCCTCCTCAGTGCTGGACCTGCAAGGGCCACGCTGGCTGCCACGCCCGGTTCTTTGCATTCTAGGGAAGTGTGAGCAACACTTTACCTACTGAGCCACCTTCCCAGTTTCTCGGACTTACTTTCAATTTTTTTACTTAAAAATCATTTCGTTGCCGCTATGTTCACGTGCACAAGTGCACAATGACGTGGAGGTCCAGAGGTCACCTTTCTGGAACCGTTTTCCCTCACAGGTGCCCTGACCCACAGAACCATCTCATCAGCCTCTTAGGCCACTTGTAAAAGAAGGATCGAATAGCTGGAGGTATTTTAGGACTGTGGTATTTCCCTCTCCGTGTATATCAGAGAGCACTGCATTCTTACAGGTCTCTCCCATCGAATCCGTCAGCAGTTCCTGTCAGTTTCATCTCCAAAAATAGTTTGACTCCTACCTTCATTTCTTTAGATCTAAGGCATCTTCCTGGAAGAGTTCTCCTGGCCTGGGAAGCTCCTGTTTCCTGCTGGCCCTCCCCTCCCAGGTCATTGACCCCCAGCCATCAGAGTGGCCACTGAAGGGCACGCAGCGTATCCTACCGCTGCCCTGATTTAAATTCCCAGTGTTGACCTACTGTCTTCAGAGTCAGTACAGGGCACATGGCACATCCCATTGCTGCCCTGTCCCTCAGGCCTTACTTGAGGCCTGGATTTACCAGCAAGACCAAAGTGAGGCCCACAGCCAGGGCTTGCAGCCCTTCCAGGGAGGGAGTGAACACCTGAGGCTGAGTCACCAAGGCCGGAGTAGATGCACTGCAGCTGGGTCCGTGGGAAAGTCCTTTTCACTCCCAGGACATCCCGAGTGGGGCAGAGTCCAGGAACAGCTGCATTTCCCACTGACCAAGCAGCTCAGAGCACTATTTGGATGAAGCTGGCTAAGGGGCGTGTGAGCGCTCTACAAAGGGTTGACTCGCATGAAAAAAGATGGATCATTTTCTCCTCATCACTACCACCAGAAGTGCCAATCATCCCTTAAATGTTTTTAAAGGTTGGTTTTTTTTTAAGGTTGGTTTGTTTTTATGTATGTTTTGCTTGCATGTAGGTATGTATGGGCACCCCGTGTGTGTGCAGTGTCCACAGGACCCAGGAGAGGGCATTGGATCCTCTTAAACTGGAGTTAGGGACAGTTGTGAGCTCCCATGTGAGTGCTGGGAAGTGAGCCTAGGTACTCTGCAAGAGCAGCCAGTGCTGAGCCATCTCTCCAGTCCTTCCAATCACCTTTTAGGGAAGTGTCTGGGGGTCTCCAGGCTTGCAAGATTAGGATGAAGCCTACAGGCGCCCGAGGCAGGGGCACAATCTCTTCTCTTCTGTGTCCTTGGTGCCCTATCACGTGTGGAGGGAGAATGAATGACAGGATGTACGACAAGTCGCAGATACCGTGGAGTCTGGGAGGCGGTGGGCTGCGCCTGCAGGCCCTGAAAGGAGGCGGTGGGCTGCGCCTGCAGGCCCTGAAAGGAGGCAGTGGGCTGCGCCTGCAGGCCCTGAAAGGAGGCAGTGGGCTGCACCCACAGGCCCTGAAAGGAGGCAGGGAGATTCACTGTATAGATGCAGCAGTCCAGGCGCTGAGCTAAACTCATCCTAGAGAGCTAGAACCCCAACCACACATTGTTACAACTTGGCCACTGGGGTCCAAAAGGCTACAAGGCTGCACTAGGGACTGGGTCTGGCTCTGCAGGGCAAGAATAACACTGAAATAGGGCTAGGAAAACAGATGGTGGGGTGGGTGGGAGCAGCCCAGGGAGAGTGGCCCAAACAAGGATGTTCAGGGGAACGCTGGGGACAATGCCAGGGAAGTGTTTTCACTCTTACGGAGGAAAAACAAGCCCCAGCCCAGCGCGCTGGTGCAGTCCTCGCCTTGCTATTGGGCTGTTTATTACTCCAGGTTCTTTAGCATCCCGGAGCAGCATCAGAGGGACCATTGAGGCTGCACACACAATTTATCTTGGCACCACTGGGGAAGACTATTTCCTTGAGGTCATGCTCTGTTTTCTGTACAAGTGAACAAAGCCCACGTGTGGGATCTCTCCTCAGCAGCTCACGGTGAGGCCAGCTGATGAGGCTGGCCGTGTGCTCGATAGGAGAACGCACCCAGATGGGAATGCCCCAGCCAACGGTGCAGTACTGAGGACCGGAGGTCATAAGTTCAACATGTAGAAGAATGTGGGTGCTGTCTAGGCAAGCCACGAAGGAGGAGGCTGCTGGTGGCTCCCGGAGGAGTTCTGCACACAAAGGGTTAATTTGCACGCCACAGAGCTCATCTTTGGGGCTGTTCAGAGTTTCTGAGGTGCTCATGGAGACACTGTGGATGCTACCAAGTGGATTACGTGACTCTGTGAGACTCATGGTGGGCAGACCTCGGTGGAGCCAGGGGCCTGCCCTCCCTACCCACAGCACGGTACCAATGAGCCCTGTCACCAACATGTACGATCCTATACACTGAACGTCAGGAATGCTTACCCTGTGACAGTACCCAGAGCAGCGCACAAAAGATGGCAGGGGCTCAAGGAACGACTGCCTAATAGGAGCTGGGAGCTGTGCTTAAGCCTCCACGCAGGCGACTTCATTTAATCCACTCCATCAAGCAGATGGAATTAGCCCCAATTAGACAGGAGGAAACCGAGGCGTCACCAGAAAGCAGGCAGCTCCTTAAGCCAGTCAGAACGTTCATCAGCCCATGCCTGCAAGGGACACTTGATACCTGTCTCTACTTGTTCCTCCCCCAGACCTGTGGCCACTAAACCCAGGGACACAGAGACCTCTAACATCCAGCTGCCAGTCAGTGGGTGAGGGATGCTCCACCATGCCTGTGCTGGGCAGCCATCCTGCAGTCACAATGGACAGGTCTTGTGATTTCATCTGTGGATAACTGGTTTCAGGTGGCTGCATACAGCAACTTTCATGGAGCATTTGTTCTAAATGCTCCCCGTCACCATGGTAACCAGAAGCCTTTCAGCCTGGCAGTATGCACATGGCCTGCATCCATCCCATCTGGGGTGGGAACCTGTCACCTCAAAAATAGCTTCCTCCACCTTAACAAAAGGCTCTTGGCAGCTTGGGAGGGGTGATGGAGGGAGGAGGGGTTGGGGCAAGGGCTGGGAGTCTGCGGGGGGCAGGGGAGCAGGACGCACCTTGGCCAAACTGGCAGTAAAGAGCACACACTCAAAGAGCTGCCCCATCCTCTGGAGGAACTCGTCCACGTGTGGGCGCTTCAGCACATACACCTGCAACGGGAGGAGACACAGGCATCAGCCACACAGCAGCCGGACAGCCTGGGCATCCAGAGCTGCCCCAGGGGGCCCTCTTCCTGCTGCCAGGTTTGGACTGGAGAGTTGGATGTAGGTGCCAGGTATGCCAGCAGACACCCCTCACAAGGAGAAAGGGAAGCTGACCACGGTGCCGAGGGTCTTATGGCATCAGAGCTAGCAGGTGGGGCACAGCTGTGCTGTGTTCAGGTGAAGCTGCTCATTCATCCCACGTGGTTTTTGACACTGCGAGTCAGTCCTATGTGGACGCAGGCCACACAGCCTATGTGCCGTGCTTTTGGAAGTCGAGGATTAGTTGCTGCCTTCTACTCTGAATGTCCCCCTCACCCCCCACCCCATAAAAAGGCCCAGGGGCTAAGATGCTTGGAGATTTTCTGCTCAACACCATGGAGGTTACTCTGCTTATGTGGGAACACAGAAAGTATTCCAGAGTGGCAAGGGGCGTCTCTTTCCCACAGTCGGGCCACACAGGACCACAAGGCTCCTGTCTCTGGAGGTGAAGTGAGTCTCGGGGAACTGGGAGAAGAGAAAGAAAGAAAAGCCAGGGAGAGGGAGTGGGAAGAGGGAGGACCCGATTAAAACTTGAATAAATTCCGCTTAAGTTAGCCTATCTCTTTAAAAACACAACGTATTTTCTAGGCTACAGCGCTTTGCTGGGTACTGCTCCAAGGCTGAATGGGATGGATATAGGCCTGCCCCTGCCAGGCTCACAGCCTTGAACATACACTTACAGAAATTAGCGAATACAACACCCACCACGGGGCGGAGCAGGGCAGTGGGGGTGGCATCTACATTAAAGACAGTTCTCCTTTCCAGAGGAGGGAGTCACAGAGAATCACATCTGGCCTTGACCTTGAAGGATCAATAGGAGTTCTCACACTGAGCAACGGAATCAAGCTTCTGGGCTGAGCAAAGTGTGAACACAACGCAGGACCCCGATGCTTGACAACACGCGTGGTGTTGGGCTGAAGCCCGTGCGCCCAGCCAATCATAGGCAGCCAGAGAATGTGAGGCTGTGCCAGGGAGGAGCAGCTGCAGGTGAAGAATTGGGTGGCAGAAAGGAGAGAGAGAGAGAGAGAGAGAGAGAGAGAGAGAGAGAGAGAGAGAGAGAGAAGGAAGGCAGGCTCTGGAGAGGGAGGCACAGGGCTCTGCACCACCTGTGAGAAGACCCTGCCGGTGACGACATTCCCACGTGGAAACAACTGCTTCGCAGCACCCCAGAAAAAGGTGCTGTGCGGGTCAACGGCTAGGTGGGAGAGCGCCTACCCTGCTAGCTGAAAGAGTGGGTCTGGGGCCTGGTTCTGCGGTTGGGGGCGGAGGGAGGGGCCAGAGGGAAGGGAGACTGAGTACCAATAGGACCCTGCTGAGCTGGGGTCGGGGCTTGGGCTGAGGACTGAGCTGTGGCTGCAGCAGCCGCAGGACCCCCTTCGCTCGCAACACTCCTTGGTCCTGGTGCCAGTGACTGGGTGTGGCCTCCCGTCCTGTGTCCCTGGGAGGATTGCATGGTCAGCACGCTTGGCTACGTGCAAAGAGCTGGACACTGACAGGGAACTCTGATGTTGGCGCCTTTGGCAGAAAGGAGGGTCCTGGGCCCGGATGCCGGCGTCCAGGCCCGCGTCCCCGTGCAAGTAACCAAGAATAGGCCCCTTGGGACCTGCACAGCCTATCCTGGATTACTTGAACGAGGCCACGGCCTTCGCCAGGGCCTTGGTCCTCTTGCTTTAGCACCTGTGGCTTCCTCCCCTTAGGAGTCTCTAATCCCAGACCCGGGGTGTCTAGGGTCAAAGAGAAGGGGCTGGGGGAGCTGCGCATGCTCGCGGTCACATGGTGTGGAGGATTACTTTTTCTCCACGCCACTGGGCAGCCCTCCCGTGCCTCATCTCAAGCTCTGCCCAACCACAGTACTCAGTGCAGAAGTCTGAACTGCTTGTCGGGTGCCGAGTTAACCAGCAGATGCTGGTTGCGAATGTTAAATGCCCAGGTGCCTGCTGCTCTAGCTTTACCATGGCTTTAAAGCGTGAGATGTGGAGACACCGCCTTTCCCAGGTCCCACTTCCTGCGAAGCTAGGTCTAAGTCTAAAAAAAAAGAACCCTGGCTCGGGAGTCAGGATTCTCATTTTGATACTTTCACATATAATCTTGAGCCAACCCTTTCCCTAAGCCTCAGTTTCCCCATCTGGGCAGTGAGGTGGCTATCCGGCTGACTTTTGTCACAGGCCTGGACAGTTGTGACTGCATTCAAGAGTTATGGGGCCTTATTGACATCATTAAGAAATGACATCCCATGTGGCCTAGGAACTAGATGTTCCCTGCTGCCATCTGAGGCCACATATTCTCCCCTAAGGCCTTGACGTCACCAGGGGAGACAGTCCCATCACTCCTAAGGGGAATCTGACAAAAGCTGCCTCTACTTTAACCTCCAAGGCTAGGTCTCCTACCATGCTTCTAATCTATTCATAAATGAAGCCATTTCCAGAAAAGCTTGCTGATGACAAAAATCAACCAACCAACCAAACAAACAATAAAACCCCCTAAAACAAAACACCTCTTCACAAGAATGCCCCATAATGGCTGACTGGTGGTATTTCCCTGTTGCATGCTAGCAGAGTGGCCTAAAGCAATCATAGGAGGACAGTAACTAGATGTCAAGCCTGTGATTGGGTTGGGGTGGGGAGAAGGGGGTTGACAGCTGGGGCAGACTGAGGGGCCACCGATAGTGACACTGGGATTTGTCTCCACTGCGTGTACTGGTTTCTTGGGACCCTATTCTCTTTGGATGTAAACCTTGCTCAACCTAGATGTAGTAGGGAGGGCCTTGGACTTTTCACAGGGCGGGGTGCATGGCCCTCTCTTAGGATTGGAGGGGATGGGGTGGGAGGGTCTGTGGAGGGAGTGGAGGAGGGGAGGGTGTGGGAATTTAGATTTTTTTTTTTTGGTTTTTCGAGACAGGGTTTCTCTGTGGGTATTTTTTGGAGCCTGTCCTGGAACTAGCTCTTGTAGACCAGGCTGGTCTCGAACTCACAGAGATCCGCCTGCCTCTGCCTCCCGAGTGCTGGGATTAAAGGCATGCGCCACCACCGCCCGGCCTAGATTGTTTTTTTAAAGTAATAAAATAATGAAAATAGAAACTCCTGAAAGTCTAAATAAATGAAACCAAAGAACAATCCCATCTAACGATTGTGAGCAGAAAAGGTCCCTCATTAACCCGGTGTAAGACAATGTGTATGAGGTAGGAATTCATTTACTGCACTCATTTATTTCCTTTTGGTTTTCTGAGACAGGACTTTTCTGTGTATCAGCTTTGGCTATCCTGGAACTCGCTCTGTAGACCAGGCTGGCCTCCAACTCAGAGATCCGTCTGCCTCTGTCTCCACGCCTGGGTCACTGTATTTATTATACAAAGTTTGTTTCCTGTGGCTGGAATAAAATCACCATGGAGATGAAAATTTAGAAATGACATTCGCAGGGAATGTGGTCACGAGAAGAAAATGCTCGCCACAACTCCAGGTTAGCTTCGATTTCTTACCTGGTGTATAGTTCCATCGATTTCAACGGGAACAATGAAATCAGCATTACTAATGGGCTAGAGAGAAAAGGAACTGTGATTAATACGTCTGAAAGGGGAAAGAAAATTGGAAATTTTAGCAAGAAAAGAGCTTGCCTGCACCAATATCTTGATAACTGGGGAAACAGTTCAGGAGGGTGCTGGCATATGCCTTGGGTCCTTGAAATAACACAAACAGGAAGGCACGTTTCTTTCTGATTGTTGTGGCATTTCAGCATTTTAGTCCAACCTCCTGGTCACTCGCCTGCCTCCACCACAAAGGGTGGCACAGCCTGGCAAAAGAACGGGCTCTTGCCTGGGGACCCAGACAGGATGAGGGGAACCAATGTTGGCCACCAGGGGGCAGCGATGAAAGCCTACTGGCCAGAGTCACCACCACTGGAAAAGCAATTTGTCCTTGGACTCACAGTGTGGGCAGCTTGGCAGGGGATGCTCAGAGCACCGACCCACAGCGGGCGGAAAGCCTGATGCCGCCCACCAGGAGCCTGGGCAGACCTCCCCCTCCGGACTCCAGTGTCTGCCCTGTACAACTGCTGTGGTGGTGGGCATGATGTCTCATGGGTCCCCATGGCTCCATCAGCAGCCTCGGGCCCTGCCTGGTGGCCTGGCTTGATTTCTTGCTCTGGGGTTGGAAGGCAGCCACCCTCTCAACTGCTCTGCTCTAAGAAACACAAAACCCAGCCTACCCACAACGTCACAGGCATTGGACGTAACTCTTGGAGAGTAGTGGATGCGTTCGGAAATAAAATAGGACTTTAGCAGTCATCGTAGCTCAATGACAGGCTCATATGGATTCTAAACAGAATTTCACAAGCTAGAAAAATTAAGGAACAGTCCAAAAGACTCATCAGCGTGCAGATCCTACGGGCAAGAGAGACACAGAAGAAGACAGAGGAAGTGCATGGTGGCCACTGTGTGGAGAGGGTGTGCCGAGCCTCTGGTTAGACTGTAAACTGGGTCTGCCTTTAAGTTCATCGGTATACCACACACTCTTCACCGGCATATAAACTGAAGAATGTGGAGTGTGCTAGATCATCACCCCATCACTATGTGGAGTGTGCTAGACCATCACCCTATCACTATGTGGAGTGTGCTAGACCATCACCTCATCACTATGTGGAGTGTGCTAGACCAACATCCCATCACTATGTGGAGTATGCTAGACCATCACCCCATCACTATGTGGAGTGTGCTAGACCATCACCCCATCACTATGTGGAGTGTGCTAGACCATCATCCCATCACTATGTGGAGTGTGCTAGACCAACATCCTGCCACAAAAGCACCCAGGTGTGGCGGTGCTGCTGAGGCTTAAGACCATAGTTTATCTGTTCCCAGGGTAGAAAAGCAAGGGATAAACTCAAAATTTCATAACTTTACCACTGAAATATCAAGTTATGAGAAACAGAGAAAAACGATCGAAGAATAACTGCCACAAGGCTCTGGATTATGAAATCACACTCCACACGGTGAAGTAAGAGGAGAATCAGCCTCAGCTGCCAAGCACGACTGCTAGGCTCTCATGCGCCAGGGCAATGGAGTTCATATGGAGTCCGTGAGCTTGCTTGTCACACCAGAGGCCCACAGCGCTCACTGCCTAAAGGACTGAGGTGTACACGTCACGAGAAACCCTAACCCGAGCTGGAAAAGATGCTCAGGCCGAGCCCGTGAGGTGGGGTAGCGAGAAAACACGGCTCAGCGCTGGGTAGGCCTGATGAGTTTGAGCCCACGAACCTATGGTGTAAGGAGAGACCTGACCCTAAAAGTGGTTCTGACCTTACACAGACACACACACATGCCACGGCATACATGTAACTCACGCTCGTCACAAAAATAGATAAATAAAAAGATAAGAGATAATTCTAAAATGTACTCAGGTCAGGGAAGAAATGAGGAAATTCTGTTTACTGCTTGTGGCAGTCTGAGCAGGGTCCAGAGACATCAGGGCTGCCAAGGCCCTGCGTTGGAGCCAGGAACCTTTGGTAATCTTGGGCAGTCTGTCCAGAGCGCCTTGGGAGAATGCTGTCTATGCTATGACAGTAACTGACCCCGCTCTGCACATGAAGCCCTGAGCCGCTTGCTTCATGGAAGGTGAAATGTTGCAATGACATTTAGAGTGGAGCTTGGACACAAGGCCCCAGTGGCCCCAGGACCAATCCTGGAAGAGTCCAGCCCTTGGAATGCTGGGTAATGAGGTGGTCTTACAAGCCAGGTTATCCACCTTCCAAAGCCTTCAGGGACTGCCTCCTGGCCTTGTCCTGTTTGTTCAGTGAGAAGGCACCATGTACCATGTTGTTCCCAACAGGAAGGTGCATGGTAAATCTGATGGTTCCTCCCTCCTGACGGCCTGACAGGAATGCCAAGGGCTCGGGTGAGACACCCAGCCCATCACGGGTGGCGCCCGTCACATCTCTCAGTGAAGCAAGAGGCATCCCAGGGTGGGGGCTGGGGGAGGAGGAATGCAGTGGCACCGGCCAGGGTAGAGCAGCTTCACCAACGGGAATAGCCCACGGTGACCAGAACCAGGCTCAACACCCACTGCTTCTCACCAGCACACCAACCACCTTTTCCAAATGTTGGCAGCCTTTGCCTCCCTTAAACACTTTCTTCTACTTTGAGGAGAAATGAATGAACTCATTGTCTTAACGTAGCTCCTGCCACGCCGATGCGGAGGCCCTCTGCTGCTGTAGCTGTTCCTGGCGGGGAGGTGGAGTGACATTCACTTAGATGTAGCTTAGTGGCAGCTCATCGCCCACAGAGAGGGGCTGTGAGGGTGGGTACTCAGTTAGCCGTGACAAAAACAAGCAACCCCAGCGGGAGAACGGTAGGGATGGACGGCCCAGTCCACTGGACAACGCTTCATTCAAAAATTAACCTGGGGACATGGCCAGGGCAGCAGGGTGCCCAACAGTTTTCAGCAATACCCCTCTCCCTGCCCCACCCAGTAAGATGCATAGTGCTCCAGTTACCTCAAAAACATTACATCCCCAGGCACTGATTGTCCCTCCCACCTGAACCTAAAAGCACTTCCACTGGGCTGAGAGTGGGGAAGTCCCGGACCTCAAAGAATTACTCGGTGATACTGGCCCAGCAATTTCCTCCCCAAACCAATGTGTTAATATTCAACTATCCTAGCTCACGTCCACCTGGGCAAACCCTGAGTTCTTGGGATTTCTTCATGAGGAGTGGAGTCACATGCACGCGTGGGCACACACACACAGAGCCATAGCCCTCACCCTTTTCGCACGGTTATGACGTCAAAAAGACCTCCACGAGATCCTGGATGTGGACTTTACCTTAAATGAACTGTGCACCAGGGTCTCATCCAGATCAATCACCACACATTTCTTCCCATAGTCGAGCACCGTCACCTCTGGAAGGAGGTATTTAGCTGGTGGCTAAAGGAAGACAAGAAATCAATATTGTAAACTCAATGGAAGAGGCTGACCCTCCCTCCGCTACAGCAGAGACTACATTAACGCGGGTGCAAATGAAAGCAGACATTTAGAGGCCCGGTCAGACTTATCAGGTCCCTTTACTAAGAGCAATAACAGAGATTCTGCAATGGGGATTCTGTCCCACTGAAACCGTGTCTTTCTGCGACCGATGCCTGGGCTCTGGCACCAAGCCTGGCGTTCAATATCACCTCAGACACTTATTATTGTTATCAGTTGAGGCAATTATAGTTCCATGTAAAACAGATGTTTATCAGTTGTGCCGTCACTCAACCACCTAGCACTTCCCTGACACCCACAGGATGGCCATTATTATTAAAATGAATCACATAAGAAATGAACAGTTACATGTAACAACTATTCTGACTTCACAGCCTATTTCCTGGGCTCACGGTTTGCCTAAATTTCACTGTAACATGTCAGGAAACTTTGGAGCTATGTTAGACCCGTGATACATTTATTTATGTGTATGCATGTGTGCCTGATGGTCTGTATGTGCCCATTGTGCCTGCAGTGCCTGTAGAGGCCAGAAGAGGGCGTCAAATCTCTGGAACTGCAGTTACAGGCTGTGAACCACCTTTGTGGGTACTTTTAGTTGAGTCCAGGTCCTCTGCAAGGGTAACAAAGTCTTAATTGTCTCTCCAGCCTCATGCCTGGCATTCCTGAATACTTGAAGAGAAGCTGTTGACCCACCAACAAGCTGTCCTTCAGGTATTAAAACTGAAACTGGTGGGCACAGCACCTCCGCTCTTGTGGTGTGAAACCGATGGTTGGGGCATCTGTACCTCTTACATCAAGTTAGACTTTAATCCACGTGCTGTGTTAAGCCAGTCCCCCGCTTCCCAATCTGTTCTCATAGGAGCTGACTCCTATCCTGTGGTGGGGTCATAAAGAGCCAACACACTGCTTCGTGATTTCAGCCAGCCTGCTCTGTTCTGAGTATATTTCTTTGGGCCTTGCCTCATTCCAGAGATAATGTGAAGTATTTTAATTGACTGTGGTATGTTCAGAGGCTAATGTTAACTAGTTAATTTTTTCCTGCAAACTGTTTAATATTTGATGCAAAACAAAACATAATTAAATATCTAGACCCAGCCACGGAAGAATGAACAGTGCAGTTTTTCAAGCAAGACAAGCAAGCATGAAATCAAAAGTATGTTCTGTGAAGTGGCTGGTACCCTTCACTTCTGAACATTAGCTAAGGAAAAAAAATAGTAATTTTGAAGCTGGATGGTGCGCACTTGTGATCCCAAGAGGGCTGGTCAGGAGGCCGAAGCAGGAGGAAGAGCCAGACTTGTCTAGGCTACACAGTGAGTTCAGGGATTTGTTTGGCCAACTTAGCGAGACCCTGGCCCAAAAGTAGGGCTGGGATCTAGCTCAGTGACAGAGTGCTGGCTTCTGTGGAGCCACAATAGAACTGAACCCTAGCTAGCCGCGAGTGAGTGCAAGCCACACGGCGGGTTAGCTAAAGAGGCAGGTACCATGATCACCCAGGACAGGGGCTGAGCAGGAGGTGACATGTGGGGCCAGAAGCAGTCCTAACTCCAGGGTGCTTGGCATCGATGCCTTTTTCTAAATCACGGGGAAGAAAAGGTCCAGAAGGCCCCACTTCCCAGAGCTCTAACTAAAGCTGGCTTCCGGTACCCCACGGCCTCCAGCACAAGCAAGAGAGGTGGGATGTGCCCTGGCTGCTCATGTGGAATTCAGGGACTGAGAGGGGACCTGTTTCCATCATTGTAAACGACAGAGTTAGCAGGGTGTTAAAAAAAAAAAGTAACAAACTCACAAGAAGTTTTGTACGAAAGCATGTTTTTTTTTTTTTTTTTTTTTTTTTTTTTTTAAAGGCAGGGCTGAACACAACCAAAAGATAGGGAATTCTTTGTGCCATAGCAGAAGGTGTGCGCGTGACCACAGTAAAATTTGCTTTGATTTTATCACACAAGTCTGTGACAGACACAGTCTCACTGTGAAGACTACGGACAGGTAAGACTTTTTCCCTTTCGATCTCCCCGACCCAGGTCGAGCATCCTTCCCTCCAGCCTTCCTCTTGGCTGCACACACAGCTACTAAAGTGATGTTTTTATAACTCCAGTCACTTAAACTGCTGGCCTGGGAAACAAGGCTCTAGCAATTCTACCCCTCACAGATCTGAAAACATCAAAGATCTGCCCAAAGCGGCTCAGAGATTTTCCAAGCCCGAGACTAAAAATTACCTTCTCAGCATATGTACCACACTGTATAAGCATTGTCTGAGTTAACAGCAATTAAGAAAAACAGATAGCTCTGACCAAATGATGCAGGGAAGGAAGGATCAGAGGGGCGAAACTCGGCTAAGTAAGCTACTGATTTTACAGCAGAGAGGAAGGCCAGGCTCCAGCAAGATGCAAGGAGGGAGAACTCCATCAATCCAGCCCTTCACACAGCTTCTCTGGGGTATCCTTGGGAGGAATGCAAATTCCTCAGCCCATGCTAAGACCTCTGGTCAGCCAGCCATGTTCTTGGCAATACAAAGACACTGTAAAGCCACCATAGTGTGTTAAATCAGTCGCTTGAAGATTTAACCAAATCTCTGAGGTCATCATAAAGCTTAAGAACAAGAAAAGCTCCCGTTACATCAGGAAGGGCCGTCCATATTTACAGTAGAACTGTAAGCCGAACCGGCCGGCATGCATGCTGGGTAAACACCCTAGCACTGGATCACATCTATCCTCTTTTCCCCTTCTGAAAATGTGAGACAAGATTGACTAAGGTACCCAGGCTGGCCTTGAACTCACTCTACTCAGCCTCCCAAATAGCAGAAATTAGAAGCCTGTACCACCAGGCTAGTCATTAAAACAAAACAAAACCCTTTTAATTATCATTATTGCGTGTGGGCACCTGATGCCATGCATGCGTGTCGTGGCATGTGTGTGAAAGGCAGAAGACAACTCTGGAGTCTGCTGACTTCTTCCACCGTATGTGGGTCCTAGGGGTGAACTCGGGGTATCAAACTCACTAGGCAAGCACCAAGCACCTTGCTGGCCGTTTAGCTCTGGCTGGTGTGGAACTCTCAACCCTCCTGGTGGTGGGATTACAAGCACAGGCCACTGAGTGTGATAAAAGTATGGCCCTTCCTTCCTTCCTTCCTTCCTTCCTTCCTTCCTTCCTTTCTTTAAGACATGGTTTCTCTGTAGCTTTGGAGCTGTCCTGGAACAAGCTCTTGCAGACCAGGCTGGCCTCGAACTCACAGAGATCCGCCTCCCTCTGCCTACAGAGGGCTAGGATTAAAGGCATTCACCACCTCTGCCCGGCAAGAATGGCCTCTTCTATACAAAGTCCATACAAATGCACGTATGGGATTTGCAGGATGGGGCAGAAACACGGAAGCGGGGGAGGAGAAAGGCATCATGGTTTGCCATCTGAAGTCTGGAAATGAAATTCCAGTTTTATTAAAAGCTTTTGGCAGACAACACAGGCTGACTGTTAAGTCAATCCCGCCATTCCCCTTTCACTTCAATGTTGAGCTATACCGCCGGGGCTCCGAGTGTGAACTTCGGCAAGACTGTGGGACAACAGGACTCGGGGCACAGACCCTGTGGGTTCTTTCATGGAGGATGCCACGATCACAAGCTCGTCTCAAGCCATGTGAACTTCCCATCCCCTACATTTCTTCCTTAGCCTTCAACATCCGACCATAAGTACAAAACCCATGAAGCTTCCCAGCGAGGAAGCCCTGACTTCCAGCCCACAGGTGGGATATGAAAGCTACTAACTGAAATTTTCAATGATCCGTGTAAACATGCCATTCCAGTGGTGTGTCAAAGATGAGGGCTCAGTACAGGTTCAGGGCAGCAGAGCGGCCACTGAAGACTATCCCCTGCTTTCTAAATGAATGAAGGACATCAAAATCTCAGAGGAGGACATGGGTCATGAGTCACAGTTATAGAGTGGATAGATCTCCCAAAGCACAGATCATGGGTCATAAAACATCAGACGAATACATTTACCTATAGAACATTAAAATTTCTTTGTGGCCAAAACGATCGTAAACACAGTCAACAGATACACTATAGTGTTTTAACATTAAAAACTTAAAAAAAAATTGTGTATGTGTGTGTGTGCGCGCACGTGCGTTTGTGTGGATATATGGAGGTCACAGGACAACTGTGGGGGTTGGTGATCTCTCTCTGTCATGTGGTCCCAGCGAGTCAGACTCAGGTCATTGGCCTTGGCAACACCTTTACCGGCTGAGCTCCTTCTCTTAGGCCCAAGCACCACTTCCTGAACATTTACAAAAGGGAGGACAAGATAAAGCCTAGACAGGCAGAATGGAAGCAAGGTATGCGGCCAGTGAGAGACCGCTCATATTCACTGGTCCACAGATGCCAGTTAAAGCAATAAATCAACAGCATTCTTCACTTTTGGATTAGCAAAGGCTGGGAGCTTCTGAAAAGCATTTCTGAGAGGGAATGGGGCCAGCTCAGTCGTCAGTGTTAGAGGGCAGTTTGGCTTCGACAGCTAACAACGCAGACTAGGCTGCTGGACCGAGTGTTTTCCGTTAGGACCTGATGGACAGGTCCATGGACGCACAGACACTCCTGCACAAACGCTTGTGACTACACAAACAGCCGTGTGAATGCAGTCAGTGGCGGGCGAAACAATGAGGTAGAGGTACATATGCTGATCTGTGCAAAGATGTTCAGGGCGTCCGTGACTAGCGTCAGACAGCCTGCGGAATGGCGGGAGTAACACAATCTCGTGTGTATAAACATGTTTGCTTGGGAGCTTTCTGAGAGGGTGGAACAAACATTAACGAGAGTTATGCTAGGCTGTGGGCACTGCCCGGAGAACCCTTTCCCCCTTATGTTAATTTCTCATCATTTAAAGTTTAACTACTGGCTTGAATTATTGTTGAATAAAAAGTTCAAAGTCTGAAACTTCTGCACTTGCAAAAAGACCAGCATATGAATGAGAGAAGCCGGGGTGGGGCCCGAAGCAGAGATGGGGGATTCTGTGCCAGCAGTTGCCGTGGGTACCCGTGGCATCAGATGGCCCTTTCTCTTTCCTGGAGAAAGCCTTCAGGAGGCCAGGGAACCTGGTCCTGAAGTTGCTTAGGTATCTAGTCCTTTGATGCGGATCTAGCTTCAGTCACTCAGTATTATCCAGAACACCCTTTGCTCCACAGGGTCACTCTACCTAAGTGACCTGGGGCCTTGGGAAACTAGTACAGACTTTACCAGGGATGCCAAGATGTAAACCTCAGGACTGAATTGAGCCTAGCTGACCTTGTCCTCAGCCTCACATGCTGAGCAGGCAGTGGAATGGTGGAACTGTTTTCCTTTAGATCATCATTTAAAGGTGCAAATTGGGACTGGATGGGGGATATCGCTCAGTGGTAGAGAGCTGGTTTACTACTCACAAGGTAATTCTCTGTACGGGGCTGGGGGGCATCAACACGAAGACACAATTAGGGTTACTTCCGCCAGGTGCTGCCTCTTGGGAAGCCAGTCCCAAGAGTCACACGTGCCCCACTGTCTGCAGCAGATGTAGGACAGAGCCTGGAGTTCATTGATCCGATGCTCAGGTAAATTACACAAGGAGCCTTCTCGGCCCTGTTTACTGTATGCTGGGATTCTGTGCATGGTTGAGCCTGGTTTCCTCAGCGGTTTGCACGGCCCACAGCTCCTTTCCTTTGGCACCCAGCTCTACAGCCCGCCATGAGTTACCATTGTGTGCAGCAGTGACATTGAGAGGACACCCATTGCTGCCATCCATTTAATACAGATGCTTGTGCAAGAAAAATGCACGAAAATACCTTCATAGAGGTTAAAGGTAGCCCTTGATGGAGCCTGCTGGGCATCGCTGGAAACACTGGCTCAGTGGCTACCTGGCCTGGTCAGTCTCTCCCCCAGGGAAGCCCAACCCCTAGGCATTGAGAAAAGCAAAGTGATTAACTTTTTTTGGGCCAGTTGCAATCTCGGGCAACCCAAACTCCTAAAATCCACACTATTCAGTGTAGGATGGCTGTACTTCTGGGAGGCTTCAGGAAATACGGCAAAGCACACACACAGACTGGAATCCCATAATGGGAATCAGGTAATCCTTATAAACTAAAAGACCAGTTCACAGACTGTTCTAGAAACTGTATCCTTCCCTGAGGACACGGGGCTGTGCCTTGCTGTAAAGTTCCTCCGGGAAGTAGCTGGATATAGAGTGCTGCTGGCTGAGCAGGAGGTGGGGGAGCATACAGGAGCGCGAAAGGCAGGCCCAGTGGAGGCCTGGGGACGCAGGTACAACTTTGCTCTAGAATTTAAGGTTTTCAAAGGGTTGGTGAGGTGGCCTGACAAGTCGCAGAGCAGCTGGTCGAGAGGTCTGAGGGGTTGGTTGACTCCTGGGAGTTTAAGCCCAAAAGTTCCTCTCAGCCCAGAGCTGCAGCCAAGCAGCCCCGGAACAGTGAGCAGGTTCAGTGAGCCAGACTCTGCTGTGAGGAAGCGAGTCTGGGCAGTGTGTGCTGCTCTCCTGATCAGAAGAGCTGGCCCAGTGCAGTACGGTGGGAGGGGTGGGCACAAGCCATCTCGGTTTGCAGAAGCTGGGAGGTTTTTCTTGGGAGTAAGGAGGTGAGTATTGCAGGAGAAAAGTGGGGCAAGGTGGGCGAACGCTGCAGAGTCTGTTTTCTGTACACAGCTGAAACTAACTTTGTTTTCTTGCTCCTCTCTCTCTCTCTCTCTCTCTCTCTCTCTCTCTCTAGCAGAATATAGCTGGTTACACCACATGATAAAACTCAACAGAAGCAAGAACGCTGGAAAACCTGTCCCGAGTAGGAAATGCACTGGGGGATGTCACGCACACTTTAACAGAACGGGATAAGGATACATACACTTGGTACGGGAATGACCTGCCTCTGGTCACCCTGAGGAAAAAGAAAAGAAAATCACTGTCAGGATGGAAAACAAAGAGACGACATTCTCAAAAGAAACTTCTAAGCTCTCTTGAGCAGAAACACAGCAATGGCCTTCCCACCCCTGCACCCTGGTGGCAGCGAGCAGAGGAAGCCAGGGACTTCCGGGAGGGAGCAGGCCCCAGCTGCCTCCAGACCCCTCCCGGACTAGGAGGCAGGGCTTCTGAGGCTCAGGCCTCTCTGTTTATTTAAACAGCATGTGCCCTGCTCCCAGGAATACAACTGTAACTTAAAAACAAAACAGAACACTCCGATTTTGATCCCCACCCCTCTAATAACCGGCTTGTTTCTTGTTTTCAAGCAATTTTCCCCCTAAAAGGACACGAGTAGAACACACAGAGAAAGGGGGGCAGGTTGATCGGATAACAAGGAATGCCTGACCGACTGCTCTAGGTCCTCCTAGGGTGGAGGAGAGAAGGGGAAAGGGGGGACAGGGCAAGGTACAAGGAGTTCCCTCCCAGGCTACCAATGCAGCTTTCCCCTTTAAGGGAAACAGAAGACTGTTTTCACTGAGAGTGTTAAGAATGTTCATGCCCCCCCCCCCCCCCCCCCCAGGAGGAGCCTCAACAGAGCTTCAGCCCAGAATACCAGCCTTGCAGAGTGGCAGGGATACTGTAGCACTGATAAATGTTAATAATACAAGGGGAAAAAAGTTATATTTACTTTGTGTGTGTGTTTTTCCTTCTCATATGGTGGGATAGGGAGATGCGTTACTTCGTGTCTCTAATCGGAGGATTTGAGAAAAGATGTATCCATGGTCACCAAGGTGGTCACCAGCGACATGGTCTCCTGTGAAGGCCAAACTTGATAGCAAAAGCAAGTGGCTGGCACCTCCTGGTAGCTTTGCTAAGACTCACAAGGTGACTTCACGATTCTCTCTGGCCCCTCGACATCACCTCTGTGGGGGTAATTGCAATCCTCTTTTCTTGGAAGATGACCTGGATGGCTTGTTCCTTTGCCAGGAGGCCCCCAAGACGGGGGTCTCTCTAATCAGAGGCTCTCCCACACGACAGCACATGCTAATCAAATCCCGGGGTCCAACAACTGGCACAGGTAACTTCATTCCCAGGGTCTGGATTTGGGAGGGAGATTTGAACCAGAAGCTCGTAAGTGCTCGCCCCTTTCAAGCAGTGACACTGGGCCAGATGACTGGGCGAGGATGTCCTCTACCGGCACAGGTAAAGCATCTCTGCCCTGCCTCACCAGGGCGTCTCCCATGAAGGAAGACTTGCTCCAGCCCGAGACCACAGAGCTCCACTCAGTGAGCCTCAGAAACACGGGTCATGAGTTGAGCGTATGTGTGAAGAGGCCACGGGAGCACAGCCGAGGGTCGACAGACCATGGACGGTGATCACACAGAAGTGATGAGCCACAGGTATGTGGGGATGAGGAGTGCGTGTGTGTGTACACATACGTGTGTGTGTATGTGAGAGGTGTATGTGTGAGCGTGTGTGTGTGTGTGTGAGAGAGAGAGAGGTGTATGTGTGAGCATGCGTGTGCTATGAGGGGCGTGCATGTGTGTGTAGGGAGGGTAGGTATATGTATGGGATATGTGTGTGTGGTATGGTGTACAGGGGGTATGTGTGTGTTTGTGTTTCTGGTAATCCCTTTTATGCTCTTCTTACTTCTGGGGTCCTCCACGGTCATGTTGGAGTCTTCCGGTCACTTAGTCTCTGGATGCTGCTGGCCTGCAGGTCCAGGATGTAGCTGAGGTGCTTTCAGTGACTGCAGAATGGTTGAAAAAGGTCCTGGATCTTCCTCTTTCCAGGGGTGAAGGCATCTCAGCAGCTGCCTGTTCCCTTCTGCCCACGGCCTTCTACTGAAGCCCTGGAGACTTCGGTAGAGTCAGGTCTGGGATCGATTTCCATGGGTGGGCTTGTTGGCCTGTTTTCAGTGGGCACTGGTGGGAGGCAGCTTGGTCCACCCACAGGGTCCCACTTGCTCTGTAGACAGCACCACTTTAGGTTTAACTAAGTTTAAAAGGACTTATTTTTATTTTATGTGTATGGGTGTTTTGATTGCATGTATGTCTGCATACCACATGTGTGCCTGGTGCCCGTGGAGCCAGGAAGGGGTGCCAGACCTCATGACTGGAGTTAGAGAAGGTTATGAGCTGCCACGTGGGTGCTGGGAATCTAACGCTAACCCTCTGGAACAGCAGCCAAACCTCTGGCCTTTCTCTCCAGTCCCGCCACTCAAACAACAACCCTGAGTTATTTAAAAAGACATTTCTGCAAACGTGAACAGAGGCAAGCCATGAATAAGCAGTAATTCTGAGACCACCGCTCCCAGAGGAGCCTTTACAGGGTGTTTATCTCAGTGGACAACTGAGCATCCCGGTCCCTTCACTTAGGACACTTCTCTGCAGGGACAGTGTCTTAATTCTCTTATTTTAAAAAAACATGTTCATTACATCTGTTTATTCATTTTGCATGTGCTTGTGGGCATGTGCCACCCTGCATGCGTGGAGGCTGGAGGACAATTCGCATGAACTGATGCTCTCCTTCCCCGACGTGGGTCCCAGGGATGGAACTCACGTTGTCAGGTGTGGTAGCAAAGCCTCTTCCTGCTGAGCCGTGCCTTGGTCTCCGCTGGCAGCAATAGTTTTTAAGCAGGACGGGACAGAAATGCATGGGGAGACGAGCCACAGTGGACTCTCCTTTTATACGTTACGATAGCTACACACACCAGAGTCACATCTGCTAGGCCAGCTGCCTTCGGTGTGTTCTTCCTTAAGCCTTCTTCAGTATCGCTGATGGTTTTTCCTTCCACACGAATGTCAGCCCACCCAGAAGCACACAGAGCAAGCTCTCAGCCACTCAAATCAGTTTTATCTCTCTCGGGCATCGATATCAACAGTGACGCCATCCACAAGCACGGCTAATTTTATAACTTTTCCATATTTATAACAACTGTCTCATTTTCCTGTTTTAGTCCACCAGGCAGAGCCTACCGACGATTTGCCTGTGTTGTTTGCTGCTCATTTTCAGAAGACAGAATAGCTTCCTATCATGATTTTCTCATAGCTTCCTTCTCGTACTTGGCCACACATCTGGTCATACGAAGGATGGCTGGGTCATGAAGTACCTCACCTTTTATCACTGCAAACATCTTCACTGTGTTTAATGCTATCAAATGTGTTTATTTTTATTTGTGTGCATGCATGTGATATGTATGCATGTGGTGTGTGTGGGTGCCTGTGGAGGAGAGATGAGAGCATCGGAACCCCCAGAGGGACACTTATAGAGGGTTGTGAGCACCCGCATATGGACGCTGGGAACTGAACCCAGGGCCTCTGCAAGCGCAGCCAGTGAGCCATCTCTCCAGCCCCTAAGACATTTGACTCAGTTCTGCTCGATCTGATACTAATATTGCCTTAGCAGTTAGACTTCTTTCCTTCAGTTCAGTCTTCCTTGTACACTGCACCCATCTCTTTCCTTTCTGCTCTCCTTTGTCATGCTGTGTTTGATGCTATTATGGAAACGATCCGGCACTCATTTTAATAGGCATTAGCCACTCTGTACCCCGTCATCCCAGCTTCTCTTCTGGGTACATGGTAGGGTTCTGCTTCACTGCCTTTGAAGTTTGGAAGGTAGAGTGACGTGTCTTGCTGCAGCCACTAAAGTCAAAACACATTTGCTTCTGGGTCAAAACCTTCAGGGATTGCGAGAGTTAAGGAAGCCAAGCAGCTAGGCCATCACCACTGTACATCCGTGAAAGAGCTCACAGCAGCACACAGGTCTCCCTGAGTCTGTGAGGCGTGGCTAGCCCAAGCTCCGATGTGTGCGAATATAAAACGCACTCATTAGCTCCTGAACTGGTAAGATAAGACGAAACTATCTCCACAATATTCTGTTGATCTCATGTTTGAGCCTTGGATATACTGGGTTAAGTAAAATATGATTAAAATTAATTGCATTTGTTTTGAAACATTTTTTGAAATGTGACTAAAATGATTTAGATTTGTAGCTTACTGCATTTCCACAGAAGACTCAGCTAATCTATGACAAATGATGGGTGAAGGAAACATAAAAACCTCCTGACAGCTCTCCAAACTATTTCAAAAATGAAATTTAAGATAAAAAAAATTTACGTTTTATGTGTGTGAGCTATTTCGTCTGCATATGTGTGTGTGTCACATGTTGCAGTATCTGTAGAGGTCAGAAGAGGGCACTAGAACCTCTTACACTGAAGTTACGGATGGTTGCAAGCCAACACGTGGGTACCAGGAACTGAACCTGGGTCCTCAGCACGTGCTCTTAACCCCGACCCCTCTCTCTAGCCCTGTGTGTGTATGCTTGGGGGGGGGGGGATAAGCCACTGCTTGAAGCATACGCAGATCAGAAGACAGCCTGTAGGAGGCAGTTCTCTTTCTGTCACAGTCTTGGAGACAGAATTTAGGTTGTCAACTCTAGTAGCAAGCATCTTTATCCAATGATAAAGAATCATCTTGCTGGCCCAACTTGCACTGTTTTAAGCCTCGTAGGTTTCAAGGTTGATACTGAAATACAACTACACTCATGCTGACCAGTCTACTCATGGGTCATTCCTCATTTTGGCTGAGAGTAGAAACTCATCCAGATGAATTTCTCTGCATGTCATCCTTGCTCCAAGTCGGTAGCCCTCAGACAACGTTCTGGGTTTTCCATGAAAGCAATAATGTGAGAGAGATGGACAACGCTAGAGCTCCCCACCACCCAAGAACGTAATACTCGGGTGTGAGGAGGGAGGCACGGAGGCCAGCGATAGCGGGGCAGAGAGATGGCCAAACGGAAGAACACAGTCTGGGTTTCTGATGTCATCACTGGGATCTAAACCAACTTAGCACCGACTGACTCCGTCTTCGCATGGGAAAAAGCAATCAGTTTAAGTACTGGTTGCTCATTTTCTTTTACTTGTTGCCCAAACCATCGGCATTTGATGGCAGGTGTGGTCTTGGTAACTGCACACGGCTGAATCTGTCAAACCAGGTGACATCGTCTTGGTCACCTGTGAGCAGAAACTGGTTCACTCTGTTTTGTGCTCTCTGTTTAAGCTATGCTTCCGTTTATCTTCAGCTGCCCTGGAGAAAACAGAGCCCCAACTCTGACATTCATACTGAATGGTACCTCCCAGCCCAGGGCTAGCTTTTTTTTTAAAATTAATTAATTTATTTATTAAATATTTTTGTCTCTTCCCCGCCACCGCCTCCCATTTTCCTCCCCCAATCAGGTCCCCCTCCCTCGTCAGCCCAAAGAGCAATCAGGGTTCCCTGCCCTGTGGGAAGTCCAAGGACCACCCACCTCTATCCAGGTCCAGTAAGGTGAGCATCCAAACTGCCTAGGCTCCCACAAAGCCAGTACGTGCAGTAGGATCAAAAACCCATTGGAACTCACCAAGGCCAGCTGGCCTGGGTCTGAAAAAGCCTGGGATAAAACTGGACTCACTGAATATAGCGGACAATGAGGACTACTGAGAACTCAAGGGCTAGCTTTTTGAAAGGCACAATGTACCTTATCATCTTTTTCCCTCTCGGTCACCTGCACGTGTGGTCTTAGTCTTCTCTTTTATCGTTGCTGATAAGAAGTCCAAGATTAATATAATTGCTTTCACTAAAATAAAGTGTTCTGGTAGCTTGTGAAATGTGTTGCTTTAGCCAGGGGTAAGGTGCTGGTGGCACACACCTTTAATCCCAGCACTCGGGAGGCAGAGGCAGGCAGACCTCTGTGAGTTCAAGGCTAGTCTGGTCTACAGAGTGAGTTCCAGGACAGCCAGGGCTACACAGAGAAACCCTGTCTCTGTGTTTGAAAAAACAAACAAAAAGCTGTGCTACTTTAACTGAGGGAGTTCCACCTGCAGCCCCTGGTCCCTGGGCGTGTGCTCTGCTGTGTCCCACTCCTGGAGGAGAACCAGCAAGCTTTGCAGTGGCAGGTGCAATCTGTCATCTTTCTGGAACTCCTGCTTGCTGATTGGTCTAGATGGCTCCTCTCCTCCCTTGCGATTTCCATCTTTGCGTTTCTGGTCTGAATTTTGCTTTTCCAGAACTTACACTCAGTTCTTGGAATGGCTGCTCTCACCGTCTCCCTTGCTTTCTGAGGTTTTGTGTTTTGTGCTGTGAGATGTTGGAGCCCCACAAGTCTCTCCCATCCCAGTGGCTGTCCTGAGTTGTCCGTGGAGGATGACTTTCTACACTGTTTTCCCCGAAGGAGTCTTAGCCGCCAGTTTTTCCAACATGGACCTGAGGCTTCACTACAGTGGGCAGTTTAAATCCCTCCCCAGGGCTTCTGCTGGTGGTTGCCATTTCAGGTCTTTCTTAGGCCTCTAGAGAAGACAAGCGTTTGCCGTGTGTCTTTCCAGTCTTGCTTGCCGTTTGCTGCAGCGTATGGCAGGCTGGCTGGCCCATGGCTGTTTTCTGAGGTGTACGGCAGGCTGGCTGGCCCACTGCTATTCCCACGGGGTCTGGCATCTGGCTGGCCCATGGCTGTTTTCTGAGGTGTACGGCAGGCTGGCTGGCCCACAGGCTTCTGCTGACTCCATGAAGATATTGCACTAATGCTTTTATGTGGGTTCTGGAGATCTGAACCCAGGCGGACACCCTCAGGCACAAGCGCTGTGCTCACTAAACCATCTTCCCAGCCCTACTGGGAATATTTCTTTACGTCAACAATTGTGCCATGCCATTCCTCAGGATTCGCCACTTTTAACCACGACGGCAACTGACCGTGTGGCTCTCATGTAGCTCTTTTAACTAAACATCTCTTCTGTTTCCTTTAACCCCTTCTTGGAATCATTATGTGTCTGAAAATGGGCCTCCATTGACTCAAGGAAGGCTAGCTTTGAGGTCTGTATCAGGCACCTTCCTGGATCATTATAAGCCATGCTGGATAGCATCTTCTGGATCAATCTTTGTACATTTATTACAATATTTTTTTTTACCGTGAAATAAAATTGCTTTCCTCAACAACAGGCAAACTCTAAGATTTTAACTGCGCGTTGCCAAATGTCCTCTCGGAAATGTAAACCAATTAGCACACATTCTACACCACTTAACGCTACGCTGCCCCTCCACTCCCACACCAAGCCCAAGCATCACCTTTTAAAAACCTCACAGACAGGAAAAGGGTAGTCTTAGTTTACACATTTGGCCGTATCAAATATTTTTCATATTTTGAGCCATACACCAAAACAATCAGGTGTTCCGTATTTTTCCTTATTAAATATCTAGTATATGTGTACACACACCTATGGCAGCCAGAAGAGGGCGCTCTAGCCTCTGGACTAGAGTCACAGGCTGCTGGGACTGCCTGACGTGGGTGCTGGGAACTGCGGATATGCGAGCCCCCTCTCCTGTCCCACAGTGATTTCTTCTTCTATGAGCTATCTGCTTACGCTCTTTGTTCATGTTATTAGGAACATAAAGTTTTATTTAAGACGTCGTGTCTGTAATTTTTAACCATGTTCCTGAAGGATAATCTCCTTTGCATTTTTCAATATTGTTTTTTTCTTAATCTGGAACCCAATTTTGACAGAAATTAATATAACCTGGTGTCTTTACTTGTTCCTGAATGGTGTCTCTTTGTTTATCCTTATATTCCTAACTGTTCTGAGTCATTTTGTTTCAGATGTGTCTGTCAGACAGCCCGTGGGTGGTTTTGGGTTCTGACCTATTATGACAGTCTAACACACACACACACACCCCAGCAAACACTCTACACAGAGCCCTCCACTTTGCTTTTGTTAAACACGTGTTGTTACACAATTATACTCACTGCATGGTCTGCTCTGTCTATCTCTTACTTTGCCTGCTTCTCTATCTGCTACTGATTCCTTCTTAAAAATTATATTCATCTATTCTGTGTGTGCGTGAGCACGCGTGTGTGCAGGCCTATATATATGCCCACCCATGTCACAGTGTGCACGAAAGGGTCAGGGGATGCCTCGTGGGGCAGTCAATTCTCTCCTACCATGTGGGTTCTGGGGCCTGAACTCAGGTCATCAGGCTTGGCAGCAAGCCCCTTTACCAGCTGAGCCATCTTGTTGGCCATAAATTTCCATCACACACGCCCTTCAGTTGCTAGATGGGAGGACCAGAAATCCTTTCTCTAAAAGACTGAACCCACTTCTTCAACGGCTGCGCACACATTTCACAGACTGTTGGGGGAGGATCTGCCACGGCGGGACAGACACGCTGCTGCAGTTTTACTGATGGCAGTTCTCCGTAGGTACTGACCTTCTGAAGCCCACCATTCTCCTCCACCAGTGGCGGAAGCACACTGGGGCTGCTGGGTGGAGGGGCCTCCACATTGTAGTCTCGGAAGCAGCAGAAGAAGGAGCTGAGGATGCTACGACCCCTCTGCTTCTTCAGGCTGATGCTGCGCTGGGAAGCTGAAAGAGAAAAAGCACACTGTGAGTGTTTGAGGCAATGCGTCGGGGCGAGGACTGGCACGTGCAGCTGCTTCTCAGACCCGACTCCAGGGGCCCTGCAGCCCAACCCACAGGCGGGACAATCACTGGGACTTCAGCTGGGTGGGGCCTGTGGGGCAGCTGGCTCCTTAGTGCCACAGTCCTCAGGGGCATTGTCACCTGTGCTCCCCAGCTGGAGGAGGAGAAGCATTCCTACCAGGCAACAGGACGCTTCAAAATCAGTGGACCTGACCCTCCCTCAGCAGCATCTTCCCACTGGACAGCAAGCAAGTCACTTAGAGACTCGGTGCCTGGACACTTGTGTGTGTTATGGAGACGGTGTGACACTCAGAGCGCGGGCTTTGGAGAATCAGGAAGTTCTCAAGATCCAACACTGTGCCCTGGCCTGCCCTGGATGGGAGGCATCTGAAGGAGGGATGGGTCTTTCTATTTATCCTGGGCTCAGGACAGGTTGCCACAAGTCAGAAATAAAAGGCAAAATCTGGCACAGATGGAAAACACACCTCAGGGCAGAAGACTGACAACTTGGATGGGCAGGCGCTTCTGCCTGGGAATGTGGCCGGGGCAGTCCTACCACATGCCATGGCTGGGTGGGTCTGCAGTGCTCAGAGCTGTAGTCTCAGAGCAGAGACCCTGCTGAGGCTTAGTGATGTGGGAAGTGTTAAAAGTAGTGCAATTGTGAGAACACGCCTCTCCTCACCAGCCATCTGGCACTATTCTTCACTGTGCGAACTTAGTGATTCGCTCAGCGCCCTTCCTCCCAAGTGATCACAATCCTAGGGATTAGTTCCCTGGTAACAGAAAACCAAATGCATCCAGGGGATTCTGGGAAGGTGAGCTCCAAGCAAGTGCTCAGATGTGGGTGGTCTGCAGCCCCCATGCACGACCCTTAGGGGCCGGGGAAATGACTCAGTGGTTAAGAGCATTGATGCACAATAGTAAGAACCAGAGTTTGGATTCTAACACTCGTGGAACAAGCTGGGTGTCCCGCACACACCTGTAGCCCCAGCTCTGAGGAGAGAGACAATAACATCATCTTGGGGTTCACTGTCTTCCAGCCCCACTAAGAAAACTCAAGCCCCAGGTTCAGAGAGAGCCCATGCCTTAAAGAAGTAAGCAGAGATTGATGGAGGAACCCTGGTGCCCTCTTCTGACCTCTGTGTGTGCACGTACACACATACACAAGCGCTCTCTCTCTCTCTCTCTCTCTCTCTCTCACACACACACACACACACACACACACACACACACACACACACACACGATGCATTATAAAATGATAAATCCTGGGGAAGCTGGATGTTTTGTCTTCTTCATGAATCCTTCAGGGTACACCATGGAGCCCCAGTGGTCCCATTTCAGGATTCGAAGGCTGGCTCAGGCCACAGGTGGTGGCCTCCCAAGCACACGTGAGCAGGGTTGGTAAATATATGACGACCATCAAGCTGACTGATGGCCAACTTTCAAAACCTCACCTCCTGGACTCCAAGCAACTCCCAGAGGTGATAGGGGTCACTGCTTCCATCCTTGCTAACAAGGAGCAGCTAGCACTTGCTGGTGCCAGGAATGGAACGCAAGTGGGCCTGTTTCCAATGTATGATTTCCCAAGCGCCCCACTGAAGGCAAACCCAGCCCAACAGCATGCTGGTCTCTAGCTGATGGTACATTTCCCGGCAAGTCTATGGCTTGCTTGTGTCTCAGAGGTGATGAGCAGCCCAAGAGCGAGCGCCTTCCAAGGTCTGTCTTCACCTTTGGCTCACACAACCATTCCTCACACTAATTAACAAACAACTATTTATCTAATCAATCATCAATCAATCAGCCTGAGACTTGGAACCAGTAAGGCTCTTACATTTCTACCACTGGATCCCTTGCTGTCTAGAGAGTCGGGAGAACTTAGATTGAGCACTATGGAGGCCGGTGGAAGTGCACAGGTTTCCTTGCCTCCCTTGTTCGAGGAGGGAGAAGACATAATTCCTTAGGACCAGTGAGCGTATGACTGAGTGGCTGGAGCCTCTGGCCCCATCTCTCTTCCACATGTGGGATGGACGTCTCTGGATGTCTCATTGGCCTTCCCCCTCGACATGGCTAGGTGGGACTCATGGTCTCTGCTCCCCCAGTCTCTGACACAGCTAAATGGGTCTTGCGGTCCCCGCTCCCCAGCTCTAATCATCACCCCTTTCTCTTTCACCAGGCTGTTCTGAATCCTAAGTAGCTCTCACATCTGTCTTCAGCGGCTCCTCTCCTCCAGAGGCAGAGGCCTTAAACTGCTGAGGTAGTGTCCTGAATTGATTTGCTACAGATCTTTGTCCTGCAGTAACTTCTCCATAGGACCCACGTGACAACGAAGCCTACCAAATGCTGAGAGAGAGAGAGAAAGAAAGAGAGAGAGAGAGAGAGAGAGAGAGAGAGCGAGCATGGGCTCTGGAGCCCGCCTGCATAGGTACTCGTGATGGCTCAACCAGAAACAGCACGGGGCCTGGGGAAGTTCTCATACTTCTTTGAGCCTGGGTTTCCGTGTCCATAGAATAAGGACATTAGCCATGGCCATACCTTGCAAGTTTGTCGTGAGAATTAAATGTTTTATTATCAGTACTGAGAATAGTATCTAAAGTATTCAGCAAATGCTGCTCTTGGAACCATCAGTAGTCTTTCTGAAAAAAATAGGGGCTGGAGAAATGGCTCAGAGGTCAAAGCTGGGTAATCCCCTTGTAAAGAATTCAAGTTGGTTCCTAGTGCCCATGCTGGCAGCTCATAACCACCTGCAGTGCCAGCTCCGGGGGCTCCAAGGCCTTCTTCTGACCTCTGTGGGCACTGCACACACATCTACACATAATTAAAAAGTCAATCTTTAATTTCTTTTTGGAGTTTCCTCAGCAATGCACTTACTTCCTTTTTTCTTTTCTGTTTTTCTTATTTCTCCCATTATTAAACACGTGCTATTTACTTATTTGGTCTGTGTATGTGCGTGTGTGTGGGGGGCATCCATATGCGCACTGTGTGTGGAGGTTGGAGGACAACCTGTGGGCGTCACTTCTTTCTACCATGTGGGTCCTGGCGCTTGAACTCGGGTCTCCAAGCTCCGCAGCAAGCACCGCTCCTTGCTGAGCCATCTCATCAGGTCTTAGCAACGTTTGCTTGGTAGAGCAGAAATGACTCTGCTGGTAAATTCTGGATAAAGGCTGTATGTCGCGAAAGTAAATTTTTTTTTCTTTCTTCTGGCATTTGCTAACTGAGAGACACATTTATTATAATAGGTCTCAGTTATATAAACTGCACTTTAAAAGCAAAACTAGACAAATCTCAGGAAATCATTCTATTCAATTGCTTTCAAAATTGGATGCAGACATGGGCAAGGTAAAGAGGGGGTTGAGTGTCCAGTGAGCTCTGCTGGCTGCTGTTTTCTGCGGGAAAGAGCAGGTTCTCAGGAGAGAAGAGGCAGCGCCCACACCATCTCACCCCTCGCAGCTTGCTTCCCTCAGGGGCTATGCTTAGCTCTCTGCTGAGCACTGCTTCCTAGGCTGGCCCTGGAGTCCTAGCCTGAAGCTGCTCACTGGAAGGGACCACCAAGGAGGCCAGCAGATCTAGCACATTCTTCCACTGGGGTTCCCTGCCATCTCCCCAGGGCTCAGGGCAGCACAGGCCGTGAGGGACTACCCTCTATCTCTTTCTTCATTGTGATGGGAGACCACACTCATGGCCATTTTCTCCACCTGTCGCTAGGCTATGGGTATCTCCCTTTTTTTTTTTTTTGTTTTTTTTCAAAACAGTGTTTCTCTGTGTAGCTTTGGAGCCTGTCCTGGAACTCACTCTGTAGCCCTGGCTGGTCTCGAACTCACAGAGATCCTCCTGCCTTTGCCTCCCAAGTGCTGGGATTAAAGGTGTGCACCACCACCGCCCGGGCATCTCCTCTAAAGGTGAATAAAGGGAGACACTTGGCAGATGCAGACTAGGAAGTCTGTGGCTCAACTTCTCACCCGGAGGACATTAGAGGGAAGTCACGGAGAGTTGTGCTGGAGGTGGGTCTGGGTTTCATGATCCTTGTGTGTCTCCTGGAGGGGGTGACAGAGGGAAACAGAAACCAGGCTCTTTTTCTGGGCACACCCTACCGCTTCTTTCTAGACCTCACCTCTACAAATAAGACCCACTTCCTGCTTGTGGATGTGGGCTTCGCTCTCCTGCCAGGGCTAGGAACTTCTGGGAGCATCAACATATAAAGCTTGGAGTAGACACTGTGGCAGCTGCCTTTTTCTCAGAGGAAATGTGTCCCTGATCCTACAGGAGGGGAAGCTTCCAGAATGTCTCCCGGTCTCTTTGGATAGAAGCAAGCAGTGACCTCATAAAGTCTTTAACTAATTAAAATCATTAAAGGGGAACATGGCATCCATTTGACAGGCTTCGCCTGCTGGGACTCCACTAAGCTTTATAGTAAAAGGTTCTCCCTAGGGGGCTGGAGAGGTGGCTCAGGGGTTAAGAGCACTGGCTGTTCTTCCAGAGGTCCTGAGTTCAATTCCCAGTGCCCACATGGTAGCTCACAACCATCTGTAGTGGGAACTGATGGCCTCTCCTGGCATAAAGGTGTATGTGCAGATAGAACACTCATACATAACATAAAGAAGTAAATGCCTCCCTTTACTTCATGTCCTCCCGCCTCACTAGCTCTCAGTCCACACAGCTGAACTCGGTCCAGCAGGTTTGTGCCTGGAGCTGTCAGGTGTCCTTTCTCCCTGGGTTTCCTAAGAAACCTGGAGCTGGCAGCCACCCTTGTCACCAGTGCAGGAAGCCAAGGTTGAAAGAGCTCCCGAGATAGACTAGTATTATCAAGACCAGGCCCTTGTGGAATCTTTAGATATGTAAAACCACAGATTCCCTTCTCCCTAAGCTAGTCTAAGCTAGGTTTACATGAGTTTCCTCCTCCTCCTCCTCCTCCTCCATCTCCATTTTTTTTTTTCAATACAGGG